TTAAAAATGGAAAATTTTGAATTCTGTTAAGAGGGCTAAAAAGCAACTTCCGGTAATGGAAAGAAATTCATTCAACCGTTAAATAACTGATTTAGCAAAGTAAAAGATGTCCTAACTTTTTTGGTACATAGTTATAACCGGTATATAATTTTCACCCTAAAATTAGGGTGTTGCGTTTCCATTGACGGTGAGTATATGTTTACACGGGAAGCGAAAAAGCGCGAACACAAAAAACATGACATTAAATTTTCTTCTTCATAATAATCGTCAAAGAGAGTTAAAACTATTGAATATAGTCTGTTCCCCATTCATTTGACCCTGTTATTTCAGGTAGAGTGAAGGCATTCTCTTTCTCTTGGTCAAAACTTTTTGTGTACAAATCAATGTAAGGAACCCTTTTGTGTATATAACAATACCAATGCTGAAGCAGCCTATATGTCATTCCTATAAACGATAACTCATAAATCGGCACTAAGTTGATTATTTTTCACACCTGAGTTACCTGTCGTTAAACACAACATCGGAAAAGTCAATTATAAATGATTAAACCTTTTAATGGTGTAATTAAAAGTATGCATAAGTTAGGTTAAAAAGGTTAAAAAAAGATAATAACTTATGGTTTATTCCCCGAATGGCTACTCGGAAAAAACAACAAGTAATTATCACACTCAATTAAGGGGCCCTCTAAGGGGTACAGGTAGACTTACCTGTATGAATAATCTACTAGAATTCACATAAAATAAAATGGATTTTTAATCCATTTTTTTTTTATTTGAGCACTAGTATGAATAAATATTTTGTATACTTTTTCTTTTAAATAAATAATTTTACAAGCACAAAACACATCAAAAACTATAAATTATCTTGAAGTTCTATTGTTTAGCAGCACTGATTTTCACATTATATATTAAACTGCACTGTTTCACTTTCATATCACACATATTTACATTATTTACAATTTATTTAGTCCATCTCCATATGTTTCATCACAACTAAAGGACCATATATTAAGGGATATATATATACTGAGCTGTAACTTGTGTTGTTCTTGTATTTACAGCTTCGACTGCATCATTAGGCAAGTTCAGCACATCATTTTCTTTGACACTTATTACGATAGTTTTGCTTATTAAAAAATTCAAAGTGAACTGATATCAATTATCAGATGCTTCATCAATTAGCTTATATTAACTTAGGAATTCCTTAAAAATTAAAGTGATCTGTTTTTATATTCAATCGTCTATATTTATTTTAAAAATTGAAATATAAACTTCTGTATGATGATTTAAAAAATGTTTTAATAATTAAAAAAATGATAAATAGATGAATTAAATTAGAGAAAACTTTATAGAAACACTTTATTTATCATACATAAATATCTTTATTTTTTTTTAAAGAAAAAAATCATTTGTGTTAATTTATTTAAAAGAGTTTGAAAATGTAGCACAAAAAGGGGATAATAATTTGTAAATTCTCAATCAATACTATTGAATAGTTTGGAAAAAATAAAATTAAAGGTACAATAAAAATTTTATTTTTTTCTTAAATCTTAATTTTATCTATCTATATTTATTTATCTATATTTTATTCAGTATATTTCGGAAAATAAAAAAAAAAACCTCTTAATTAAAATAAAATGGAATGAATATATCTGATTTATAAAATATTGCCTATCCAGGTAAACACAGGTAAGTCTACCTGTTCCCCTTAGAGGGCCCCTTAATTGAGTGTGATAATTACTAGTTGTTTTTTCCGAGTAGCCATTGGGGAACACACCTTTCATGTACCTATAAATCTATCTATACAATGTTTTTTACCATATGTGCAACTTGAAAAATTAGTTAAAAGGCCTACATTTATTTTCACAAAAACGTTATTGTCCACGAACTTTTTGGACAACCCTCGTATGTCTCATCCAGCATCCAAAACAAGTCCATTAATTGGTTTACATCCTTAGATGTATCATCCATGCAAGTTTGGTCAAAATAGGGCTCAAAGTTGCTTGGAAATAAGACGTACTGCACCAAAAACTTTAACAGGGTCTGTTCGCTCATACAAAAACAAGAACTCAGTAAGTCAGATCCAACATCCGAAGCAAGCCAGGTAGTATGCATCCTTAGATGTATTAACATCCAAGCAAGTTTGGTAAACATATAAGGCTTAAAGTTACTTGCTAATCAGACCTACACCAAAAACATTAGTATAACTTGCACATGCACTTCATGAATCACTGACAAAATCTCATACAAAATCTCGTATGGATAAATAAAACAGGAATTATTAAAGACAATGATTGGCTTTAAGTTTAAAAGAATAGCAAATAAAACGTTTATAAATATGCAATTTTAATGCTAACACATTTGGTTTGAACATATTTTGTCGTCTAAATAATACTAGTATACAAATGACTAACACATTTATACAAAAACTGAGCAATTCTCTTGTTGGGTACATATTTCCCTCTGTGGAATACTTGGTATAAATCATACAAAAGACTTTTACTACATATTTTACGTTAAAGGTACATTCATGTTCATTTGTAGGGTTACTCTCAAATAAATTCTGTATAAATTCACAATTGACAAACACGATAGATGAATAACTCTATTTGACAATGCCATTAAATCTAGAGCTTGCGTAGCGTGTAAGGACACATTATCGAAAAACAAAACAGTATTTAATGTATATCACAACTTCTCTGTAGTTTAATATTCAAAACATGTCTTTGATATATTGAAATGAGACATTTGTTGGTTATTGTCACCAATTCCATTTAAATTTCTTTGTCTTTTTTTTTATCTTCGGAATGCTCTTTAAGTAAAGTTCTCAGTTAAGGCTGGATTTTCAGTAAGGCGTGGCATTCTCGACCTTACATATTAATTAGCTTCTGAAATTTACACAGCTTTCCTTTACTGACGAAATATACAAAGGACAGAAATTCGGCCAAAACTAGTGTAGCAAATAGCTAATTATTAAGGTATACCTTTACTCAGATGACTAAAAATTCTACCGATAAGAACGGAAAACCATCTATTGCACATTGTACACCTATAATTCTTGTGTTAAATTTTAATTTCAAATAACTAGGTCAATGACCTACTTTTCATGCTAGTGGCCCCTGAGTATTTCTCTGGAAATATGTCGATTTTTCACACTATGACCAATTTTTTCTTCACTCACAAAATATCACAAGCAACAAAACTCTTTAAATATTGAAATATTATTGCAATGAAACAGTGTTGCTTCATATAAAGAAACAATTCGAGTTTGGGCCATAAACTTAAATATTATTACAGTCCGAATTTCCTCTGTCATATTTATATTTTTTTCCCCATTTTTAATCGAATATTTAAAAAATCTGACTGATAAGAACTCTAAATTATTTACAGCCTCAGATTACCTTTGTTGTCGTAATTCTCATGGTATAAACATTATATGGGGTCAATGATCAAATTATTGAGATATGTTGCCTGAAATAGTTTTTGTTCATATTTCTGAAATTCTTTATTTAATAGCATTTAATTATTTGAAATAATTTATTAGCTTTAAGACATATAAAATTTGCAAAATGATGTCTGAAAAAACATACAACCTTTACACTTTGATAAATATTGCAAGAAATAAAAGATTTTGACAAAAATAAGAAATTAAAAATTTAGTCCGAATTTCCTCTGCACTATCATACATTGACTTTTGTTCCTGTATATTTTCTTCAAATAATAAAATATGAAATTTTAAAATTGATATTGTGTTAAAACTTAGTAATTTTATCCATTTAAAACAATTTTTGATTTAATATATTATACTTTATGAAATGTCCTTTCTGTTTTCTGAAACCTGAGTAAACGTCATCCTTAAGCCCGGTTTACACGCTCTGCTTTTGCAGCTGCTTTGAAGCAGAGCTGCAAAAGAAGAGCGTGTAAACAGGGGTTTTGCACTGCAGGCATGCAAGCAGACAGAATAGAAATTGCCCTATTTCAGTCTGCAAAGCAGACGTAACTGACCATTCTGATATGAAACTATATGGCTTTAAAGTGATAGCAGGCAAGGTAAGCAGCTGGTGTAAACTCTCTGTCTGCTTTGCAGAGTAAAATGCAGACCCAAAATGCAGCTGCAAAAGCAGAACGTGTAAACTGGGCTTTACAAGTTCTCGCACGGCACAGAGGTGGGGCTGAAGTCGTCTCATAGTTGTCAACAACAATTTAAAGTTCCTGATGTTATCATTTTTTTAACCAATGAGAATCTATTCGCAATTTGACCTACGCTAATTACGAGAATGCCACGCCTTACTGAAAGTCCAAGCTTTGCTGAGAATGTTACTAAAGTTTCCCGAATCGTTTAGGTACCGCATAGCTGCAGAACAAAAGCGATATCGTTTTACAAATGTCTGACCATAAGGCCAGACTAAAATAAGACCATAACTCTACAGTCCTGGAACTAGGTATTGCAAAGCTGACATATAATTTCACATTTATAATAAGGAAATTGGAATATATAATTTATATAATATTCATTCAAAACATATGATTAATAGGAACTATATAACTATATAAAAAGATATTCATTCAAGACATATGATTAATAGGAACTTTATAAATGTATAAAAAAGTATATAAAAACAACAAAAAAACTATATATAGAGATGTTATAAAATACCTGAACACACTCATAAACCCCTCGGTATTTATATACTCAAGGTGAAGTCACGTGTTGTTTTTTTTTTATTTTGATTTTTAATAAACATTGATTTTAATCTCAAAGATGGTTTAAGTAATATCTACTTAATTCAATTCAAATGCAAAAGATAAATTACTAGTAATACCCCATGCCCCCAAAAAAGCCCAGTTTAACCATCATCTGAATCATCCTTTAATTTCAGTAGACCTTTGGAGACATAGTTTTTTTGCCCAGATAAAAAGTTGTGTCGAAAATATGTTTCCTAGTGACAATACAATTAGATACTGGAAAGAAAGATGGAAATCAAATTCAGTATAAAAAACTGGGTAAAAGTCAGTTGCCAGTGGGCGGATCCAGAGACGGGACAGGGAGTGGCAAAGTTTGATTGGCCCGCACATAGTGACGTCACATTCCCGCCAGATGCTGCATATGTGTATCGTGTGTATTCATCAGGTTCAGCTATGAACCAATTTACGCCCACCAACCGAAGGGAATTGTCTGACACAAAGTTGGATATATCGAATAAAAATCTGAAAGAAATATATTGAGGTTAATATACTGAAAGGAAAAAAGAAACGCATGAGAACATAATATGCAAAAATATTTTGACTATGTTTCCGAAAATTATGAAAATTGGTCAAAAGTATATTTTGGTTACTCTGCACTAAAACTACTCAACCATGAAATGTATGGCGTAACGTAGTGAAAATGATAAAAAACCAAAAACACGTGCATTTTGATGATGACAATTTTGTGATCAAATTTTGTAGTGCCAAACGATGCATTAGAGTTATAGACATCTTTTTTGCATATTTGAAGTCAGTTTAAATTTCTTGCAATTATGGTATGGCTGACGGAATTTACATTGGGACTAGTAATTGAATTTCGTAAGTAAATAAAAAGGCAACACCATGTTGCTGTGCAGTTTGTTTTTAATTTTTCATCAAAAAAGGTTTTTTTTTTTAAAATGTCAGGGTTTCCAACCAACCAGAAAGATGACGTTGGCGCGTAACAACGTCTCATCAAAAAAGGACTTTTCATCATGCCACTTCGGTTATCGTTAAGGCATTTTCACTGAAACCGATATTTATACAACAGACAATCATACTCATATTTTAACTCTAAAATTGACAGAAACTCAGAAAATTTGGTCCGCGAGCTTGTCAACTTTACGTCGATTTTACTCTCACACGCGCATGTGCGCGTCGTATGCGTAATGTTTTTAGCATGTTCACACTGGGAAAATGTAAGCAATGTTTGTCGAGACTTTCTTACAAACACCCACGTGCACTAAACCAGCTGGATTCTGTATATTCTATCTTGAATCGAAAATTCGTGGGATTCATTGGGCGGGGGGATTTGTTAGCTTTGAAATGTTACAGCTACTCTCAACCATTAAGATTACCGTCGGAATGGTTGAATAATAATCCTATGATTAAGATAAATGCTCTGGTGAACTCAATGCACAGTAAAATCAAGGCTGTTACTGAAGTACGAGAGATGATGAGAATTTTTATTTAAATTTTTTGGGGGGGATCGACATATCAATTTCAATAACTCATGAATTATCAGTCAAAGTCACACAAGATTTTGGTAACTTGCTCATTAAAGATGAATTAAAATGTTTGAAAACAATACTGGGAAACAAATTTGAAATAAAAATTTTAATTTTTCAAAAGTCTATTATGCGTTTCTTTTTCCTTTCAGTGGATCACCAAGAAAAATGTTCGAATACCCGCTAAAGTTTGGTATAATAATACATTTATTTTAATTTAATATTAAAGGGAGTGAGAACTAGTTCAAAAAATTAACATGAAACAGGCAACAAGTTTAACATGAGACAGGAAACAAATTATTGGAACCACAAACCAACGTTTGGTCACAGAAGCAGTCGTTTAATGAATTCAGAAATGATGTACCTTGAGTTTGTAGGAATGGTGTAGTTTCCGGTTTCATTGGTATTTATGACGTCATTTTGCTCGTAAAGCAGGAAGTAGTAATAATGAGCAGCGTCAGGGGGGCGTGGTCCTATATAGGACTGTGCTGTGTATCCCTCCGCCATCCTTCCCTCGGGAATATTCACAACCATCCAGTGAAGAAGAGGGCGATCCTGTGTCCCTGCCGTGGGGCTCGGAACATCCGGATCTACACATAACAGCGTGAATGTCTTGCCTGAAAAGATGTCAATGTATTGGACACTGTACGTACATAGTTTATAGCTTGTTTATGTAGTCATGTGGCTGGGTGTCTATGAATGAAAATATTCTTAGTCTTATCAGGAATTCATCGTAATAATATGTAACCATTGCACAAATATTTATTCTATATTAAACTATACCAGTGAAGTTTTTCATCTGAGCATAAAATCCTAAGGCCATAAAGTCAGGAACAGGAGTGGCGTCGGATCGAACATCCCACGAGTCAACCGAAGCGTCACCTAGCGGATTCAGTTTTAATGTCCGAGACCTGTGTAATCAAAGGAACAATAATTAGACAACATAGACATTCTTCAAGTTATATCAATGCATAGCTTAATGGAAGCGCTATATGGCATTCGATTTACATATAGGGTTCAAAATGACAGGGATTGAAAAGTTTTTAATCTAGGTACATGAACATGTAGCAAGTGCGTTAAACAACTACGCTACATAGACAGTATAATTAAAAATGAACCATGCAGTTTATATTTTATAGTAAATCATTGACAGATCTGGAGATGTCTATTCTTATATGTACGGTTTTGAGATGTCTATTCTTATATGTACGGTTTTGAGATGCCTATTCTTATATGTACGGTTTTGAGATGTCTATTTTTATACGTACGGTTTTGAGATGTCTATTTTTATACGTACGTACGGTTTTGAGATGTCTATTTTTATACGTACGGTTTTGAGATGTCTATTTTTATACGTACGGTTTTGAGATGTCTATTTTTATACGTACGGTTTTGAGATGTCTATTTTTATACGTACGGTTTTGAGTGCTTGGTACAACAAGAAGTGAAGGTAAGAGCAGTCGGAGAAAATGTGACGTCAACACCCACCGTCAAGTCGGGATCTTTCGGAATGAAGGTTCGGTTGTGGTTAGCAACCGCTGGAAATAAAGATAAATTGTATTTCAAGAAGAAGTGCGTTTAAAACAGTTGTCAATAAAACAGAAGTGTAAGTATTGCATATTCTAACTACATATCTGTGGCTTATTGGTCTATGAAGAAAATTGAATTTGTCAAACTAATGAGCTACAGATCTACAGCAATGCAGATTCCTGTGTTAAAGATAAAAATAACGAAAAGTATTCAAGTTCAAACGCATATAGAAACAAATTGTGAGGAAATCAATCACAGACAAAACTGTAGATGTTGGATCAGGTGCTTCTGAGGAGAGAGCATCCCACAGTAATTACTTTTTCAATATATTTACAGGTACATACGTAGAGTTTATGTAATGTTTTGAAGATTAATATTTAATGAACTGAAACGAGTTTTTTTAAAACAATTTTTTTTCATGAGTTCTACATGTTCTAGAAGCGGAAATATATACTAAGTACTTGTAAAATAATATCCTCTTCACGTCTCAAATTTACTGTATCAAATTCCTAGCATAAAGATTCCTCATTCTTTTTCCTCGGGTGAATTTAAGTATATATTCAAAAAATTTAATACTTTTAATATTAACGAGGCCCGATCTACTTGATCTGCGCATACGTTTTAACGCAGCGTCGACTCAGGCACGTCACAATACCCTTGACTGCCGTCACAATTGAACACAATAACGTCACAATTAAAATGACGTCAAATTGCGCTAAAATGTTTTGCTGATCTTGCTTACCTGGTAGCTCTATAGACTATGCAATTGAAAGCTGGCATTTCTATTATTTTATTTTTTTTGAATATCTAAATTAATAAACAACTTTGGAACCTAATTAATTTTGAGGGATCAATTTTTGGTACAAATTCATTAATTTTATCCTGTTTTATTTCAATTTGTGAGTTAAAAAAAACAAACACTGCAACTAAAAGTAGACGATTTTAGTCTTTCTCTTTGAACATGTTGAAGTGTTATACACACTCTTTTTATTGCGGACTTAAATATGCATGGATAATCTTCAGTTTTTTTAAAAAAAAAAAGTCTATAAATTATTTAAATTGAACCCCCGAAATATTTTATTTTTCTATATATTACATGATATTAGTAAAAATCGCAATTTTGTCGCCTGTACCCCCCCCCCCCTTCCCTCTACCCCTTTTTTCCACGTAAAAACGTCGCGTGTTAAGAGAAAAATAAAGCATGGCGAGAAAATTAATTCATAATGTAAGAATTATTTATTTTTTAGAAATTAATACAGTATTGCAATCGTTAGTTGGTGTTATGTAAACCCATTATGACCTATAAAATACGTAGTTGGATAGAATAAATCCAAATTTTGTGTTTTGACATGCCTCCTTTTCACTGCAATACAGGCTACCTCCAATTTTCTTTTCATTTTTTATAAGAAGAATGAAAATTGCATGATATATGTGAAAAACAAAGAATTTCATCGTGTATTTTTTTTAATTTGTAAATTTCTTTGTTTATTGAAGAGTTTTAGTATGTAATTGTGTATAAAAACACGAAAAATGGTCCATATCTTGACAGTGCCCCCATTTCACTACAATAAAGGCAAGGTAACAAAATTTCATTCTAATTTTTCTAAGCATAAAACATACAAGTATATTTCCAAGAATTAAAATTTTTTATCATTCCGTTTTCGTAATTTTCAACTAGATCGGGCCTCGTTAAGTACCTATACGATTCCATTTTATTTGCATGATCCTAATTGAACTGACCTTGTGAAATCAGATACGGACAGGTATATAGAAGTCTTATGTTGATCATGTTCTGCATAGCATATGGATCCATTGTCACTCTCATCCAATTCACGCCAACCGGACCTAAAAATTATTAGATACAAATCAACAGGACCTAAAGACTATTAGATACAAATCAACAGGACCTAAAGATTATAAGATACAAATCAACAGGACCTATAGAAAATCATATACAAATCAACAGGACCTATAGAAAATCATATACAAATCAACAGGACCTATAGAAAATCAGATACAAATCAACAGGACCTAGAGACTATTAGATACAAATCAACAGGACCTAAAGATTATAAGATACAAATCAACAGGACCTAGATTATAAGATACAAATCAACAGGACCTAAAGATTATAAGATACAAATCAACAGGACCTAAAGATTATAAGATACAAATCAACAGGACCTATAGAAAATCATATACAAATCAACAGGACCTAAAGATTATAAGATACAAATCAACAGGACCTAAAGATTATTAGATACAAATCAACAGGACCTAGATTATAAGATACAAATCAACAGGACCTAAAGATTATTAGATACAAATCAACAGGACCTAAAGATTATTAGGTACAAATCAACAGGACCTAAAGATTATTAGATACAAATCAACAGGACCTAAAGATTATTAGATACAAATCAACAGGACCTAAAGATATTAGATACAAATCAACAGGACCTAAAGATTATTAGATACAAATCAACAGGACCTAAAGATTATTAGATACAAATCAACAGGACCTAAAGAAAATCATATACAAATCAACAGGACCTATAGAAAATCAGATACAAATCAACAGGACCTATAGAAAATCATATACAAATCAACAGGACCTATAGAAAATCAGACACAAATCAACAGGACCTATAGAAAATCAGACACAAATCAACAGGACCTAGAGAAAATCATATACAAATCAACAGGGCCTACAGAAAATCATATACAAATCAACAGGACCTATAGAAAATCATATACAAATCAACAGGACCTAGAGAAAATCATATACAAATCAACAGGGCCTACAGAAAATCATATACAAATCAACAGGACCTAAAGAAAACGTGAAATGCAGGTCGATCATCAAACCCAGCATTTGAAGCAAGTCTGAGATCGTTCGTCCTTGATTTATCATCCATGCAAACCAGTAGAGCTTGAGGGAGCTGCAATAATATAGCCCTCTCCATTCTGGGAGGACAAATCAACCCCCCCCCCCAAAAAAAAAAAAAAAAAAAAAAACTAAGAGAGCTTCATTACTGCAGCTATAGGCTTAAGGTACCGGTGTTACGGAAATGAAATGCACATGCTTCAAAAACTTATAACCTGGTTTCTTATTCAGGATGCCAAATCCAGCATCCAGAGCGTTTGATATTGGGCGTGACATATATACCAATTCCAAGTCAATTTTGCTAAGACAGGAGATAGAAGTTTACATTGAATTGAACCTGCTCAAAAACTTTCAACCTCAAAAATTTAAGTAAAACCCAGCATCCGAAACAACTCTATTTGTGCATCTGTCACACAGTGTAAGTTAATTAGTCAAGTGTGTATTCATACAAGTTTGGTTCAAGAAGGGCTTATATACTTAATTAATGTATCATCCTTGCAAAGTTACTCTTTACCAAGTAACTATAAACCTATAATATTAACATGTTCCAAAAATTATTTTAGGCCACGAACCCAAGACCTGTTAGATTTAGTTATATGACTAGCACATACCTGTGAGATTTAGGTATATGACTAGCACGTACCTGTGAGATTTTAGGTATATGACTAGCACGTACCTGTGAGATTTAAGTATATGACTAGCAAGTACCTGTGAGATTTAGGTATATGACTAGCAAGTATCTTTGAGATTTAGGCATATGACTAGCACGTACCTGTGAAATTTAGGTATATGACTAGCACGTACCTGTGAAATTTAGGTATGTGACTAGCACGTACCTGTGAGATTTAAGTATATGACTAGCAAGTACCTGTGAGATTTAGGTATACGACTAGCACGTACCTGTGAGATTTAGGTACTCCACCGCGTCCGTATTGTTGTATTGTGCCATAGAGTTGGACAGCAGCTTTCTCCACTCCTCTGACATCTGGATCCGCCCCGATTGTTTGAACAGCCAAAAAGAGTAGACGTTAGGGGTGGGCGTAGATTTCATAGGTCCATGGTAGTCCTTGAAAATCTATTTGAACCACAAAGTGATGATTTACATAATATATTTTTGAACGTTACCAAATGATATAATAAAATTCGTTCTTGCATGCGTCAATCATATGGGTAAAGAAAGAAGATTTCTACCAGATGTAAGTACTAGTATATGAAATAGGCTAATAAAATATGAAGATAACGATCAGCATTCATTGAAACAAGACAAACTGGGAGAAAGGCAAACATGGATATCTAAAACACAGATCTGGGATCAGGTGCCAAGGTCAAGTGATTTACTCCGAATGGTATGCATCGATGTGGACCGTGTTATTTCCTAATGAAGGCACAAACAGTCGATTAAAAAACTTGATTGTTGGACTCAATATACGTTCATGATTCTGTATGGGTGACGTAGAAATAGAATGAGAAAAAATTATGTGATATGGTTTAATTTATTTTATAATTGTTAACAACGAAATGAACCAAATATATATCCCCGACAAATATATATGCCTTTACAGTAAAATAGTTTCATTTTTATTGTACACACACAAGGATTATCAGAAGCTGATATTAAAATGATGCTTCAGTTTCTGATAAACACATATTTATGCAGAATTTGGAGATAAAACTTCCAACAATGTGTCGGATTCCCATGGGTAATACCTGCGCCTCGTTATTATTTGTATTAATATGAAGCAGAATTAATTTTAAAAAAAAGCTTAAATACAAAAAGAAGTCTCTTGTTGTGGCTCTCTATTCAACATTTTGTTATATTGACACAAAACTGATTTTCATTATGACTTATAAGTTGATTCGATCCCTATCTGGTAATAAAAGATTCCAGGTTCTTTGTCTCTGTTATGTTACATGTACCAATTATAACTTAACCAAGATGGATTATAATCGGACAAGGGTGAATATATCCTGTATACCCATTGTATTTTCAACGTCTTCGATTGATGCCATGCATCATTTTTAAGCGCTAAGCGCAGCGCACAGCGCTTTCTGTCAGCGTAAATCTACTTCCGTTCTGGATCCAGCGCCACTATAAGCAAGTTAGATAACTCCACTTGTGCTATTCAAAAATATGCAAAAGGAAATCACCTGACTCTCTTTCTGCTATTTTAGTTAATGCTGTGTTACGTGCATTTCTAATAATAGAAGGTAATTAGTAAGGTTTAAGGATGTTCCACAGTAAAAGATAATAGCTGTTTTATTATATGATCTTAATTAAAATGATAAAACATTGTAGTTCATTTAATTCATGTCGGCACACATTAATTTGGTACCAGAATTAAAATTGCTCAACCTTACAGGTCTTATTTATTTTCTTTTTTTTAATAAAGTATTTTTATTTTTTGTACATGCAAAATAGTGATTTTTTTAATTTTTAAAGGAAGGATTATTATCAAAACTCAGATGGGATTTTGATAAAGTTTTAAATCTCAAACTGGAAGTGAGTTATTCAATAAAATATATCACATAAAACTGATTTACAATGTATTACTTACATAATATGGTACGTTCTATATATCCATATAAACTATAATTATTTTTTCTTCTAGACAATTATTTCAGGCAATGTAATAAAACAAGCAGTTAAATAAATTAACATCTTAAAACATGCTGAGATTTATCAAAGTTGATTTTATATAATATTCAATTATTAAAAAAAAAATATTAAAGAATAATTTTTTTTTAATGTTTACTGTGTTGTTTCATAATTCGAAAGGAAGGGCATATGTGGCTGTAAACAGACATATATAGCATGTTATTATGTGTTTATAAAGAAAAATAAATACACAAAAATACATTATATTGGTAAAAAAGCAAAGAAAAAATAAGAATATGTCAATAAAAATTTCACTTGCATATGTTCAAAATATGGTGAAACATGCTAAAACATTAATTAACTTACTTAGCAATGGAAGAAATAGGGCTGGTAAATTTTAAATTGTTTATAACGGTGTAATACTTGAATATAACATACACACAAATAAAATTAACCAGTTGACAAGAATTCCGTACTGCTTTTAAAATTTGTACAGGTCAAAAATGTACATTGACATGTACATTTTGCAATGAGAGGTGCACACTATTCAATCATATAATAAAACATTTTTTCCTTTGATAATTACTTTTTGCAAACAGTGCACACTTTGTGCTCTTAACTTTTGTTTTACATGTACAAAATGGCAAAAAGACAAATGTCAAAACGTGAGCTGTTGAAACGCATATGCTCTTAATTACAATATGGGCGGGGTTAAACCATTAAATATGTTATAAAAGTGTACAACGGGGAAAAGTATACGACAATTAATATCAAAACAAGATTTGTTTTGTAAAACACATTGCCACAAATTGAAATTAACACAAATATTGTCACATGCATCGCAAATCTGCATTGCAAATTGAAAACATTCAAATGTTATCTTTTGTTTTTTGCAAAAAAGTATTGTGTTATGGTTAATTACTTCATACTTTATGAAACGCAATGTTAAGTTTTTAAAAATGATGGTCAAAGGTTACAGTTGAGGTCACAAATTTAATCTTACGTTATATTATGGTTAGACTCTTAGTCCACATAAAATGTCCTTTAAAACTTTTTTAATTTTGAAAAAAAGTAGTGTAAACTATATAATCAAAAAGTTTTCTGGGTTGGATGGGGGCAATTTATTGAACAAGAAATGTTTGTGGAAGGTGATTTTAATCTATGGGAATTTAAATCTTTTTTAAAAGACTAGACAAATTTTATCATTAGTTTTAATGTTCACAAGAATGTTTGCACATTTTCTTAAAATATTTCTTATCCTTTTTATCGCAAAATTAATGTATTTGATACCTTGTCCAATTTAATTACAACAAAAAGTATTTTTTGAAATAATGATGTTTTAATCTGTAAGCATATGTGTTTCAGAGAATCACGTTTTGACATTTGCCTTTTTTACCATTTTGTACATGTACAGACAAAAGTTAAGAACATAAAGTGTGCAATGTTTCAAGGCTTACAAAAATACATGTCAAGCTGTACATTTTAGATGTACAAATTTCAATAACCCGGTAAGTATTTGTACTTGGCTGATATTTCCATCGCATATTAGGATTAAATAGTTTATGTATAAAAAAAACCCAGCTGTGTTGACTTTATATACTTAAGTGGTTATTTTGATTAAAAACAAGTTTAAAATAATTATATATACCTTCATGAAGATTTATTAATACTTGATATTAATACTGTAAAGTTTTACATTACGTGGATCTCTTGACATTATCTAATCATTGAAATAGCAGAAATATTATGGGCAACTCTCTTCCTATCCCTTTTTGCTCTAGCACAACAATATCCTTGTCAATGTTTTTCCTCTCAACATGTTTTGCATGGTAGTGAAGATCATAATACACAAGTAAAGAATGGTGAAATGCACCAGTTAGCTGCAAAAAAATATATCGAAGCATTTTAAATTATTTCAACAGAGTCAAAAATACTTTTGGCGGATTTAACGTATTTGGGTTTGGTCGTAAAAAATACCCTTATGATGGCACAATAAGAAAAGTGTAAAAATTTTATTGCAAAAACGCATCATCCACTATTATGACTTGACCCATATTGTATATCAACACAAATGTTACTGCAAATACATGTACACTGTAAATCAAATATTTGAATATCAGAGATTACAGGATAACATCAAAAGATAAATATAATATCTTTATACTAAAATGTATATTTACATATTATCTCTGACATAAAGGGCGTTAATTCTACGGATGTTAATTTCATTTACATATGACGTTGTTACAAACATGATGCCAACAAACTTCAATTTGAAAAAAATGTAAAATCAGAATGAATTTGTTATTAAATATGATCACCAGAAGATATTTATCTTTCATGTTGCTGTTTCAAATAAGAGGAATTGTTAGCAACAAATTTTCAATTTCTTAACATTTTTTTTTCAAATACATTGTATACATTTTCCAGCAAAAGTATTGTCTTCAGACAGTATAGCTACATGTACATTTAGAGTTTAAATTTGATCGGAAAACTCGATTATCAGCTCGAAAGAAAATAATTTTACACGCAAAAATATTTTCTTGCAATTTCTTGTACAGTACTGTAAGTAAAATGGATTGATCTTTTGACATACGAGGATAATGTATGATGTTTGAAAAAAAGGCATTTATTCCGTTTTATGTTTATGTTTCATAACACAATGGGGTTCACATACCTTACAGGACTCACATACTTTTTGACAACTGTGCTCACTTTTCCAGCGGTATTCGCGCTGTCAAAATATCGCTTAGAATTCAATACAACAGGACAATTTAAATTAAAATATAATTCTGACGAATTCCAAATCAATATGCTTAGCGCTTCTTAGTACTTTCAGTACTTTGATTGGGGTCGTATTTAGCCAAAAATTACCCCTTGGCTAGGATTAGAAAGGGAGGGGTTCTGACTTAATTGTTTCTAAATTTACTGTAACAAAATACGTCCACTCAGGTAAAGGTAACGAAACGGCTTGATATAACCAGGGAACCTTTAAATGCTACATCATAAATATATATATCTACCTCTGCTGCACTGACGTTATTTCCGGGTATATTTATGATTAATCCGTGATTAACCAAGGAACCTGCATCATAAACAATGATGGTGTAGAGTTCGTTCTGGTTGGCTTCCCACGTCATCATTGGTCGCTTTCTGACGCTCCATGGCTTGTAAATAGTGGCCACGGTCGGGTCTAATTCTAGTCGACGACTCTCCGTAACCGTCCATGTATTTCCACAGCCGCTGTATGTTCCTTATTAAAGATTTTCATCTAGCATTATTTTTATCTTAATCTGAACAATCTAAAACTTATCACGTCATGTAATTAAACAAAATTAAAGTAAAAAGAAAACATTTCATACCTGTCCCTGTTTCAAAGGTCACATTCAGATATTTTGTAACCAAAGATTCATTAAATGAATATCCAGGCCCAAAGACGCGGGTAACAAGACTGTCGGCTCGATAAGGGTGGTAGTTAAAACAATCCAGTGAAGCCCAAGGGTTTGGACATCGGGCGAAATACGGCGTCCCAAACCAGAACAGATTTTTGTCTTGAGAGCTAGTCACGATGGAGGAGAGACAGTTCGAAGGATCCGAGTTCAGATTCGCTGGGGAACAGGGGGAGGTGGTTACCGCTGTCAAAACAAAAATTCAAAAATTATCCTTACAGAAAATATAAGTAATTTTATCGAGAGCCTACCAGGGTTATATACAGAATAAGATTATACAGTATAGGCATTGTCTATAAATCACTCTCCATTTCCAACTTTGTAAAAGTAACAAAACGAAAAGCCTTAGGGAAACCTTAATAGGTCATCAAAAATTTCGAAGAAACCGTATTTTCTACAATTATAAGGATTTGGTAAATTCGTTTTGCGTTAACCATTGCCAGATAAATACAGTATACAAAACGTCTAATATAACAAGAGATGTTTGTAAAACACTTATATGCCCCTCCTCCAAACAATTGAAAATTTTCTAACACCAACAAAAACTGTAAAAACTGCGTTTAGAAAATAAACACTTCCATTACATGTTTAGACCAAAACATGTTTAAATTGTGTTTAACGGCTAAACACTTACGATAAATCTGTATTATATCTAAACGTGTTTAGATTTAAGCATGTTTAATTTAAGTGTTTAAATAATTGAAATTTTTGACAAACAAGGGTATAACTATATCATAAAATGGCTTTATATTTGAACCTTAATAGAACTTGGTTATATATTCAAAGGAAATTCCATATATAATTTCCAAAGAAAATGGATTAAAGGTAGCTCTCATAAAAAGTGATAACATGGAAGGGATTGTGAGAGGCATGTGAAAGGCAATATTACCACAATAAAAGGTCTGCTTACTTTTATTATTTTGACATAAATTGACTGAATGAAATTACGTAAATAAACATGCAATTACACAATTGTAGATCAAGATTTCCTTCTTTAATTTTAATTTGCATTCTGAAAGCTAGAAAGGAGCTATATAGAATGTCATTGAAAATATCTATATCGATATCAGTATTATACATGTGTATGTACATAATAGTAAAATGGATTTCAATAAAAGTTGCATAATACTAGTTAGTTTAGCTATCAGTCAGCAAGGGGCATATTTTTAGTATAATTTCATTCTTTCTGACAATTATTTTTTCATTTTGAAGCAAAAATACACGTCTTTGAATAGCTGGTGTCCATTTCCAAGTCCATCAGTTTTTTAAACATCTTAGCACTTCTTTTGCATTTTGGAAAAAAACATTAAAAATTTGTTTCTATTGTTTGGTATAGTTTTAAACAGCCACAAAACATTCATAATGGAAATTGATTCCTTTCTGGCAAGTTGTGAATCAATTGCATATGAATGTGTGTTATACATGTATCAAAGTCAAAAGTTATTTATTTTTTTACCATTTAAAAAACACTAATCATTTTAGGTGTGTTCTTTGTGATCTTTTTGAAACTTAAAAAAAATTTATTTGTTTATTCTTATATTTATCATTGAAAAAATTCTTTGTTAATAAATTTAATATTATATATGTTATAATTACTGTTTCTTTCCTTGAATTGGCTACTTTTCAAGTTAAAAGTTTGGTTTTTATGTACAAACATGGATAGCACTTCAGTTCATAAATATGCTAACTATTTATTGGAAACTATATTTAATAATGTTTTTCTTTGATACAAATTTAATTAATTTATTACATGTATTCAGTTTAGTTATATATTAAACTATTGACCTATATAATGACCTATATACATCAAACATGTTTCAGCAACTTAACACTTAAATTTTGACTTTTAGAAACTTCTGAAACGTGTTTAGCCCTAAACGCGCAAAAAAAGTTTAAAAAAAATGTTTTCGATATAAGTTTTTATTTTGGTTTCCTTTCGTTTCTCTCGGTTTCATATCGTTTCGATTTCGTTTCGCAGTTTACAGATACCCCTTGCCGTAGCAAAACATTGACACAAAAAATGTTTTAGATATATGACGCGAGGTCTGGTGGCTTCTGAATAACATGGGCAAGAGAGCTTTGTTACAACGCACTTTGAAAAATTACGCACTTTGAAAAAATTTTTCAAAGTGTGTTAAAATTTGTATACCAAATTTCACTTTGAAAAAAATTTGTTTTTTGTATACATAGTAATAGACATAAACCCATGCATGCGCGGACTGAGGAAGTTGTGAATCAATATTGCCCAAATGTTTAATACATGTATCAAAGTTTAATAACTTTTTTTTAAAGTCACTGTAAAATTCAGATATTGATTTTAAAATTGATATTGATAATTAAACAGAAAATTCCAAATCAATGAAATTTCATATGAAAAAAGAGTGGAAATTGTTTAAGGTTCAATAATTCGTTTCTTCTTTTTTTTATCCAATTCAGTCTTTGATAAGTAGATGTTAAAGGTGTATAGGGTGCACTAACAAAAATTATAGCACTTAACATTTATCATAATAAAAAGAGGCCAATTTGATTGTTCAAAACTATGAAAATTCTTTCTCTCTCATACGTTTTACTGTACTTAAAAAATAATATAGTTTTCATCTGTTCTAATTTACTCATTAATTATTGAAAGTTTTCAACGTCATACCAGTTAGGTAAATACATAATTTTATGAATTTTTGAAAATAATGACATCAAGCCTGGGGTTGAATGGGGGGGGGGGGCTAAGCCCCCAAGTACCTGTGTATTTTGGAAAGATATATACATCGTATAAACATTGAAAATTGCACATGCGTACCCTTTCTAAGTTTATTTCATCGTTTAGTTACCGACACCTATGTATTGTGACCAAGATAAAATTTGTCAGGGACTACTTCACCAATCTTCTCCTCTCTTACAAAGCTTTGAATGTTGGAGGCCTTTTGAGGTTAGGGCTAGGCTTAGTTTTTTGATAGATAAATAACAAATTAAATCTTTCCATGACTAAAATATGATTTTTTTTAAAGTACAAAAGTACTCAATGGTAAAATATATTGATGTAGACTCTTAACGCACTTTGAAAAAAAAAATTTCAAAGTGCGTTGAGTTGGTCCCAAATTTAACGCACTTTGAAAAATGTTTTCAAAGTGCGTTGATTTTGTCCCCAAAATTACGCACTTTGAAAAAATTTTTCAAAGTGCGTAATTTTTTCAAAGTGCGTTGCCACAGAGCTTCCAAAAGATAGATACATGTTACAAAGCTTGAGTTCGTACTTTTTGATCCGACACATATTTGGGATTTCCCTTAGCAAAACATGGACTCTGTCATTATATTCATATGGGAGGCGGTGGGTGTTGCAAAACATTATCACAAGGTGATCTATTTTGCACTTATATAGTCAAAACTAATATTAAGTTCGGAATTTTGTTAAAAATACTGTAAGAGTTCTACCAAGAGATCTTTGATATTTTGTCGGTAATATCACCGAAATTATTTCAAAAATTTTCATTTTGAATCTTCAAATGAAGAACTGATCGGCTTACGATAGACGAGATTTTCCTGCATTGTTGTACATGTTGTACTGACCCAGATTTTTACACGTATACATGCATATATATATGCCTGATAAGTTATCGATAATCTTTGACTCAATATTCAGTGATATTTGGAAAATGTAAACAAGCGCTTCCACAGACTACCCGATTTTATTTTTCAAATAAGCATGTAATTCACGCATTTAATCTAAAATTGATTTTTATAATTAAACATAACATTCCATAATCAGTGAAATTTCATATGAAAAGTATTTGGAAATTGTAAAAGGTGTTTTAATTTGGTGTCCTCGATTCTATATCCGATTGTATTAAACGACAAGGACTTTATACATGAGAACCGCCAACTTCAAAATCAAAGATCAAAATTCCATCGTTGATCCATACTTACGTAGGTTACCACATGCCAGTAGAATGTCAACTACTTCACCAATGGTTCAAAATATTACAAAGCTTTGAATGTTGGAGGCCAATGGAACAGGGAATGAATTTTTCAAAATTTCTCTCCCGTACATTTATCTATATATTTAACAAGAGCAATGCAGTAAGAGTGTTCCAATTTTGATTTCTAAATTAAACAAAAATACCAAACATCAATTAAAAGTATTTCTAAGGCATTGAGAAAAACTTATCCTATATATAGATGTTAAATTACTGAGTTTATGGAATACTTACTTGGATTCTAAAATTAGTAAAATTAGATACAACTACACTGTTCCAATTTAATCTAAGATCACTCTAACTGCATAAAGAATTCTTTAGTATATAGTATGAAGAGGGTCCTAAATAAACTAAGCGGTATAGGAATTGTGCAGGACGAACAACTGGCCACAACGGTCAATATTTGGTTTACTCCAACTTAAACCACAAAGAACGATTTTCAGTCTTTTCAAATAGTATGTACCCTGGTAGTTATTGCAAAACATTTAAAATATCCAGAACGGGTTATTATTTTACACTTATATACATATAGTCAATACCAGAATTAAAAGTATTTTCATATCATTGTTGATGATGAAAATATGCAGATTAAATAAAAAGTATTAAAATAAAAAATATCGGTAATATGTTTTTTTAAAAACGCAAAACGTGTACTCGTTGCATTTAAACGTGTCTCAGTTATGAAACTTCTGAAGACACGTGCAGGGTGTGGACATGAGTGATTGGTTTTTTTTTTCTAGGAGGAGCGGTGCCTTTTCGTTGCAAACTTGTCAAATGTAAATAAGCAAGAGAGGAAGACTCACCTGTAATGCAGCCGAACAGCACCGCTACCTGTATCACCTGTACAAGACGCACGGCAAGCTCCATGTTCGTTAGCATTTTAGATCATGGTTCACTGCTCGTGATTTACTACTACCTGACAGGAGAATGTTTACAATCAGGATTGAGCAATCCAGGACATATAAATCTACACGCGTGGATCCAAGATTTTCTTTTTACATTTGTGAAGTTGAAGTGATTTCTGTCGGCATTCATTTCAAAGTTAAAAATGCTCCAATGTATTTATATCTTTATCTAAATAGTGATTTTAAAAGATCTTATTTTTTAAAAAATTATATTTACAAAATCTTATTAATATTCATGTTAAAATATCATACCTTAAAAAACCTCGTATGAAAGTTTTAATGATCTTAAATATTCTTAGCACTAAACATTCTCTTAAGTGATAACGTACATTCTTTTTGCATATTTTTTTCGTAAACAAAAAAAAAAAAACAATCAACCCCCAAAAAACAAACAAAAGAGAGTGAGAGAGAGAGACTTACTTAACACTAAAACAGTATTTATTGTCTTTTTTAATTTCTATACTTTAATATGTAACTTCAATCTGTTCAAAGAGTTAAAATGCTATAAATAGCAAAAGAGAAATTGAATGAAATAAAAACTAAAAGAATTGAAAACAACACCGAAATCTTAGTGGAAAGATCTGTTCAAAGAGTGGCCTCTAATATCAAGTGGTAATAATTTTTCATATATTTAATCAAATTTAATCAATATGCACAGGTATTATAAAAAGAATTAAAAAGGATTTGCCAAAAAAGTATATAAAAAAGTTAAAATTAATTTTATCTGTCCTCTAAGCGCTGGAAAGCATATATATGCTTTTGGAAGCAGCTTTTATCTGGAAGTTTATTTCGCATTTTTTTGCTATTATTTTGCTGGAGAGAGTAGAAAGGACTAAACAAACATTTAAACAAACAAAATGAACTTGGGGGGGGGGGGGGATGAGAATCTAAGTTCCAATTTCAATATCTATATTATAGATATCTTTCAAAAAATGTTGAGTTGACTTAACAATGATTTTTACCGACGCCTAACGCAGTTTAGGATTTTGGATCTTTTATTTTGTTTTCTTGATAAAAAACATTTTTACGTAGAATATATTTTTTGAGAGGGCATGAGGCCCCTTCTAGGTTAAAACATCATTGAAACGCGCCGTTAGAAAGAAAAAACACAGTCCCTAGTTTATAGAACTTTCATTGAAATATTTCTTCCACATAGACATTTTAAATGTATTATGTGATAGTGTTTAAGAAGAAGCATTTCAGTTGATTTTGCGTGATGGGTCGCATTGATACAAACTAGTATGAGTTAAAAACGGATCAAAATGCAGATACATTTTCTTTCTTTTTATATGTATATGGATTCACCAAAATATTTTTATGCATTAGGTGTAATTTGACAAATATCGACTTGCTTTATAAGAATTTTACATTTTACATTAAAATTCATATTATCTGATTTAGATTTTCAGATAGAAAATCGATGAAATGACGTGGTCCCCCTACGTTTACCTTTCCTACAATATGTGTTTCAGCTTTAGTGACATCTGTCCCAAACTTAAATGAATTATTATCGATTTTCTACATTGAGAGGTCCGTTCAAGGTCTTTCATTGCTCCAAATAACTTAGAATAATTTGTATTTTGAATAAACACTTAATGAAATAACGATTCCACAATATTTTTGTGTAACGGCTCTGGTGATTTTCGCCTATCAAAGGAGAGAAAAGGACTTTAGACAATAACGTCCCCTTTCTGGTGCCCCACCCAGGTATGCTTCAGATGGGGAGATAGAAAACTTCTTGCCACGCAGCCTAGGAAGAGAGAGAGAGGAAGACTGGAGGACAGCACGCTTATCGGCGGGGGAGATGCAGCAGGGAGAGAGAAGACGTTACTGTCCCCCAAAAGACAGCTAAAAGTTCATAGAAAACCAGGTTAGTGTTTTTCCTGTTAAAAATTCAACAACTGCATTATTTGTTCAAAGAGATGTCCAGATTATTTATATAGTTTCAATTTTTTCATGCGTATATTTGAATTGAATATAATAAAAATATTTGTATAATTTTTCCTATGAGAGATATATGTATATGCACGGTTAGATTATTTTTTAGAAAGAAAAGAATTCTTTACGAATTTTCATTCTAAAATTAAGAAACCTGAATACCATTAATAATAAATTCATTAAACAGATAAAAAATATACAATGGCGATTGAATTAAATGTAGCTATCTGATTAACTGCCACTATATATACGTGTATCTTGCGCATGAATCCCTATTTTAATATGGTTTACACGAATTGTAGTATTTTGCCAGTTAAAATGCCTTTTAGTGTTTAAATAACAATATGTGAGAAACTTGAAAACAAATGCTGCATAAAATTACACTCTGAGTGACTTCCCTTGATGACCACGTGTTACCATCCAGCTGTCACGAGAGCGCTCAATCACATTTGTGCCCAGAGTATTGAACCGGCAGTCCATCCAATTACATCAAAAGAATTCGCAAAATATGCACTATTATTATTCTTTTTTTCTAATAAAAGACAACTTAACTATATCAATAATCGAAGGAGATTAAAAATGGCGAGTTTTTAGCGGGATTATTGCAAACCTTAGACACAATATGTTCATTTTTTGTAATAAACGTATCTATAATAAACAATCACAAAGAATGAAAATTATCTGAACTTTGCTAATATTACCTTAACAGTATATTTTTCTCAAAACTTCACAGGTGAAATATTCGATTTAACCATATCATCACAAAAATGTCCAATTGTTGCGTTCGTTCGGAAGCTCAACAAAGATCGTCTAACTAACAGATCGGTGGGACTTTCGTTCGATTGCAATGATAGGGGTCACCATCGCTGGATTAGGGTCAGTGACTTTCCAGTGTCCACTGGCAGAGACAGCAAACGACAACAAGATGGTGAAAACAAGTTGCTGTCCTTTAAAAAAAGGACTACAATACGTGGACCATATGTATGTGTATCTACTAGTAATCGAAATTCAATTAAATAAAAAAGGAGGTTGTTGGATATTAATGCAAGTTCGTTCCCATTTTCTACATTGATCTGCCTACTTGACTGATACACTTTCATAGCAAATTTGTTAAATTTTATCTCCGATTGCCATATATAGTTTTGTAATTTTAAAATTTTGATACATACATGTATAACCCATAATATGTGGGACTTTAAATATACTAGTATTCTATATTAATTCGGAAGAAATCTAACATTGGAAAATTAGATCTGACGGAACACGTGTAGCACAGCTATGTAGTACGGACCCCCTCCCCCCTCCCCTCCCCCTACTCACATGGAAAACTTGTTTCAAGCCGTATTTGGATTACTGTATATTTTAACTCTGAACTCATAATCGCACCAACTCGGGCTTTTCCGTCAAAGGTCAGAAAGCTGGTCGGAAAGGCCCGAGAAGTTGCGACTGGTGTTGCGGAGTCAGCCGAGGATTGCCAACTGAAACTCTCTAGAATTCTCGCGCATGCGTAGCCTGCGGTATGCCCAGGGCATCCGGTTTAACCTCGCTTATATATTTACTGCGTGGACCTCAGGGTCCACGCAATAATTTTCAACAGACTAAAGCTCAAACCCTGAAGTTAACAATAGAAACCTTTGGATTTAATGATATGTAGAATACCGTCTCATCCGAATACGGTCACAACCGAAGGTCTCCACGCCCTACAGTAGGATTTGAGTCCGCGACGTAAAGATTTACTCCTTAATTACTTCGCGACTCTAGAGAGACTCTCTAAACACTGCTACACAGGCTACTGATTGCAAAAGTGGCGCAGTGGTTAGAGCGTCTGCTCGAGGTAAGAAAATGGTCTTTACGTCGCGGGTTCGAATCCAACTGTGGGACTTGGGAAGCGGTCCATCGGATGAGACCGTATAAACCGAATTCCCGTGTTGCAATAGATGCTGGCATGAAAAAGTCCCCCCACTGCTCAATGGCTGTAAGTGTCGAGTATAGGGCAGAATTTGCAGCTCTCCACCGGCAAGTGGGCATGGCTTTTCTATTTGCATTGATTGAATATTCTCGAGAAGGACGTTAAACAACAAACAATCGACATTCGAATTACACAAGACAGTCTTGATTGTGACATCACATAACATCGTATACAGATCGGTAGCTATGTAGGACTCGGAAATAAGCATCAGTTGTCGACCACTCATATCCACCTTGTGCTCCTTGACGAGTCCTTGTCATGATCGGGAAATAACGGAATTTTTTTAAAACCGTCGACAATTCAGTGTATAAATATCGACGAACAACTATTTTGAAAAACGTCAGCCAACATTCGACTTAATTATACATTTAGGCTATGTTTGCTGACAAGGTTATTGTATCGACCATACAACTTGCAAAATGATGATGTTTTTTTCCCATCAATATGTTGTCAATAACTTTCGTAGTTTTATATATAATTCGTACGTAGAACAATTACATGCTTTTGCGTATCCGATTAATCAGCTTAGAGATATAAACTCCATAAGAAGGTGATAAAGGTACATTGCTCCATGTATTTTAGTAGTGTTTACGTCCCTCAAGTATCTTTCACTCATATGGAGACACCAAAATTTGCTGATTGAACGCTGACATTTTTTACCTATACTCGGGGCATTGAGCAACAAGGGATATTTTTCGTGCCAGCATCTACTGCAACACGTGACCTAGTTTTATACGGTTTCATTCGAAGGACCGGTGTCTCACAAAGGAATTCGAACCCAGGGCCAAAGGATCAACCTGTCACTTCTGAGCCAGAGAAGACGCACTTCCATTGGGGCAGGAGCTAGGGCGACGCAACAAAAGTAAGGGGAGTTGATGACTGAAGTTAAATTCTACACCTTTTCTATACAGCTAAAAAAAAACTAATTAACCGTCTAATGCTCACTTTATTTCTATGACGACATTTAGAGGGTGCATTGTTTTTGTGCAAAAATATTAGCGTATTGTTCGTTTGTCTGTGTGTTTTTTAACGGACGTCTGAAGAATTTTCCACTCATATGCAGAGCTACACATTTTGTCCTATATCCCGGCACTCAGTATGCTTAGGGCCATTGAACAGTGAGGGATCTTTTTCGTGCCAGCACCTACTGCGACACGGGACCTCGGTTTATACGGTCTCTTCCGAAGAACCGGTCTCCACGTCCCGCAGTGGGATTGAAACGTAAGGATCAACCCCTTACTTCGCGACTCTACAGCAGACGCTAGATAGCCATGTCGTAGCAATGGTGACTATTAGCGTCTTGTGTTTTCGACCTTAATAAAATATGGACACTCAGTCAATGGCTGTTAATATCTGAATTTAGAATACACACAATGAAAGTAAGATCGACTGTCCTAAAAAAAAAAAACAATCTACAGTATACTTTTAGCATCCGGAAATGATGTCATAGGGTGGGATACCTTCATAGGAGGTAGATTGGTTATGCGGTCGAAATACAAATTGGTTGTAACCGTATACGGAATATCCTCGCTAACCATGGTTTCTGGTACGCTAATCATATCAGAAACCCTTGAGTAGCAAAGATGGATACGTAACGTTTAAAAAACAGGAATTTTAACTAAACCATGGGGAAAGAAATACACATTTTTACTTTTGGATTGTTTATTTTTGATCAATGAACTCCTGAAAATTAATTTGATCAACTTGAAAAATAATCCAGGCAGCAATTACTTTAACAATATTGAGAAATCTTAGAAAATTGCACACTGTCATTACAAATTTTGTATTCTATCAAAAGGAACAAGTTCCATCAAAAATATTTTTTTAAATAGGAGTAAGTATCTTAGTCATATTTAGTGGCAAGTATTTGACAGGAGGAAAAATCCACAACTTCATTTCCAAATAGCAGCAACAGCTCCACCTACAGTTCCAGCAGCGCCGCCTATGATAGCCTTCGTTCCAACTGCCGTCCCAAGTACGCCTGCACTCTGACACAAGGCAAACAGGCTCCCCGCTGCTGTGGCGGGACCCTACAAAAATCACATTTTAATAAGAGTTCATCAGATTATCATTAATAAAATAGGATCTTTTTGAGACTACTCGAACAAGTAGAAAATACAGTGAATCCAAAATATATTACAACCACTAGAAAGAGCGACGTATACATGTTTTTTTTTATAGCTAGAACACGTGTACAAAAGCAATGCCTTATTGCCATGAATCAAAATTGAAAGAAGGATACATTAGTGTCGTTTTCCGGAATTTGACATGTACCCGGAGTGGTTTTTAGGTCGCGATATCAATATTAATAGGAGGCGGAGCTATCGATCGGTGTCATTGTTGACATTTCTCTCTCTCTCTCCATCTCTCTCTCTAGAAATTCGAATACGTGTTTGGAATATTGCAGCGATGTCATTATGAGTTTTTTTTTTTTAAATGATAGGACACGCAAAATTAAAACAACATTTAATGTGCTAAATTCTGAAAACGGCACCAAACATAGTGATTTACATCTAGGTCAGGTTGAAGAATACAATGTAACTATTTCCACGAGTACACTCGCAGGCGGACATCACGTGATGAATTGTAATATTTAACAGGTCAATCGAAGTCGTAACAATGGAAGCGAGAAGTTTGTTTGGAACATGTTTTTTGTTAAATTAAGTGTGAGCGCACGTTTGTCGGCTCTTCTCCTTTTAATATTACATTATTTTGTTCAATATACAACTACAGTTTTCGTAAAAAAAGCCGACAAACATGCGCTGACTATGTATTCAGACGATGAAAAATGCGTGACCCTGATTATCTATTGATATTCAACAAATCTTCAGGCACCATGCCTTCGATATTTATTTAGTTTCCCTCGAAAAGAGCATTTTAAATTCACATCCGTACCATAAATACACAGTTAAGATATAGGGGGTTTATATGATGGAAAAAAAAAATACTGAAAATAAAATTTGCGGCATTTTTTCTGGCTAGTTAAGTCCACCCATTCTTTCATTCCCTAAGTCTGATACTCTAAAGCTTGGACCGTGCAGGGACGTAACAACATTAGGGGGGCAGGGGGGGGGGGCACATTTTCCCAACATTACCTTTACTCATGTTACTATTGAAAATCTCTATTGAAAGGTTGGCTGGCCCCACTTCTTACCACAGTATAATGATATGAAGGATATGTAGTATTGTATGTGAAAAAAAAATGTAAGTGAAAGGAAGTTGGCCTTGAAAAAAAGTTGTCCCCCCTCACGAAATAGGCTTATCGAGTTTTGGCTATTTCCCTTTTTTTATTTTTGCTTGTCACCTTTTTCAGGTAAGTAAAAGAAAATTTTCTCTGTTTGCCCTCCCCCCTTTCAAAAACGATGCTACGTACTTGCAATGTGTGCCTGGTGCCTTCAATTTCAGAAGTTATAGAAGACTGTATTTATTTAAATTGAAATATATATTGCCTACTACAATGAACAGAGTAAGTATTTTTAGGTATTGAAGATTTTCAGAGTTGTAAATGGATGCCCGTCAATGCTAGACTCAGACTGTATCACTGGAAACCAGGAACTTATAACTTTACACATTTGGTCGAGGAAGGGTGCTACATCATGATCAAACTTTTTTTTCGAAAAAAAGTAATATTTTTGTTTTAATTGCGAAAAAGATGCTTAAATGTTTAAAGTTTGATGTCAATGCAAGCGCCCGTGATTAATATGTTGATTGGTTACAGTACATTGTTTAACGTCCCTCGACAATTTTTCACTGATATGTGGACGCCACCACTTGCCGGTGGAGAGATGCAAATTTTGTCCTTTACTCGGTACTCAGGGCCAATGAGCATTGACGGTGCACAGAAGTTAGAACATCTGCACTAGATTTTCGAAGTAAGGACTTGATCCTCATACGTCGTGGGTTCGAATCCCACTTTTGGACGTTGAGACCGGTCCTTCGGATGAAACCGTTTAAACCAAATCCCTTATCGCAGGAGTTGCTGGCACGAAAAAGATCCCTTACTGCTCAATGGCAAATAAGTACCGAGTGTAGGAAAAAAACTTGCAACTATGCGCCAGTAAGTGATGGATTGTTCATATGAGTGAAAAAATCTCGAGAGGGACTTAAATAACACATGCAAACAAACTTCCAAATACATTAGATGTGTTACCTGTGCGGCAGCCGCAATAGAACCCGCTGCCACGCCCGCTTTGGTGAAACCAATAGCACCCAGGACAACAGGTGCGCCGAGCAATGCCGCCCCCGCCGTCACCCCGGAAACAGCCGCTATTGTAACAATCTCTGAAATAAATTATATTTCATTGATAAAGAAATTAATTATGGAAGCAAATCGTCAATTCTTTTTAGGAGTGACCTTGACTTGTTGGTTAATATGTCTAAATTAAGGGATAAAGTTTCCTTAGTAATGGTTCAGGGATGCGTGATTGATTGATTGTTTGTTGTTTTAAGTCCTATTTGAATTTCATATAGAGATGTCACCATATACCGGTGAAGGGCGTCAAATTTTTACCTCCACTTGGCACTCAGAGCGAGTGAGGGATCATTATCGTGCCAACGACGGCCGTGACAAGGAGCCTCGGGTTTTAAGGTCTCATTCGATTGACCCGCAACTTTCACTTCATAGTGCTAAGCGCATGGCGAAGGAACAGTTGCTACCCATTTTTTTTTTATCGAAATAGGTCAGTCGTGGCCTAAGATTCTAACTCAAGCCCCCAAACACGGAGCGAGCGAACGGTCCTGGGATGTTTGCCCACCAAAGACGTCCCGAAAATCGTAGGAAGGAAATTTCTAGATCAAGTTTCTTTAAATGAATATAAATAATATCTTCGACGTCACAGGCATTATAAAAAATATCTGACTGAGCTTTCATTTTCTCAACATTTTCCCAAGAGTACCTGTATAGTTTGAGTTACCTTACCTACTCAACATCCAAACACCATTTCTTGTCAAGCTTAAAATCTATTAAACAAGTAAAGAATTTCCTTTTTTTGTTACAGGTATTTATTAGATATAGTGTGATATACATGTAGGTGACTCTCAGTCACGTTCTTTACAGTCCGGATAAAGTTTTCGTCGATAATCCTCTTCCCGTCCTCCAATATAGCCTTTTTATAGAGGTCTAACGGTCTAAAATTTCAATTTGCTATTTGTGGACTAATGTCACGAACACCCTAGTTTACTACATGTTTCATTATGCATATTTTGGATCTATGTTCATTGGCGGATCCAGAGGGGGGGTTCCGGGGGTTGGAACCCCCCCTTTATTTTTTGCCAAGTGGAGAAAGAGAGAGAAAGAAGGGGGATAAAACGTTTCCCGAGAATAAGTATTTGTACGTCTAACTTAAAATATGTATTGAATAGATAGATTCTCACACATTTAGTTTTTCCTTTCACCTTCACTGTTACTTTTTATGAGTGAATGGTAGAAAATATTCACTTATTTTTATATATCGTAAATATGATATGTAACATGCGAGGTTAAATTTGATATTAGATTCCCGCGATCTTAATTTGGCTGTGTTGGTTATATACAAGATTAGAAGTTGCCATTTTTTAAAACTAAATCTTATGAAGGAAGTAAAATTTAATTCATTGTTTTATACCCAGCCCAAAAAGGATTTTCAGATTCTTTAAGAAAATTCATTCTACTCCTCGGAAATGCTGCAAATCCATTCAATTATAAGGCTTCAGTAGTTTTTTAAATGTGTTGATTTTTTCTATACGGACTGGGGGTCCCTTTCAAAGAAAAAAAGACGTAGAACAAAGACATTATTTTCCACAATCTTATATTTTTCCATACATGTGTGTGTGAATCTTTGCCTGAGAGTGTGTAAAGGGGGGGGGGGTAGAGGGACACAACCCTGGAACCCCCCCTTTCAAAAATTGCTGGATCCGCCCCTGATGTTTGCGATATCTCGAGCATTACACATACAAAAGTGTGGTGCGCCGTCAATTACGGAGACGTCATTTTCACAATCGTTTTCATGGGTATCGCATATCATAGAAAAAATCACTATATATCTGTTAGTACTTCAAATATTCATAATAATAGAACAATTTAAAGATATATTTGAGAAAATTGTCGAAAAATATCGCGAATTTTAGTAAACTAATGGGTTAGATTTTTGATTCCGCATGCTTTTGCTTCAAATTTTTGCCTTGCTCCGTACCTCTCCATCAGCGATATCAACATACTAATAATTGTAGTAGAATTTTTTTAAAATACCGAAATTTTGCCCAAAATATATTGGAATCTTTAAGATGCATATTTTCGTGAAATTTCATAAATATATGATGTATGTAAGAGAAAATAATATCACAGTCCGCTTAATTTTTGAACGGCCGTCGTACATGTATCTTGTCATCGGTCATTTGCAAATTTATTTTGTTAAAAAGATTATGATTGTACACACAAGTACTCTGAAGGTGACACGAAAAGATGCTCGAGTTTCTGATTGACAATATCTATGTGGTTTTTGGAGACCAGGTCTTCCAACAATCTATTGGAATCCCCATGGGTACCAACTGCACTCCGTTATTAGCTGACCAATTCTTGTATTCATCTAAAGCAAAGTTGTGAAAAATCTTACGCATGAAAGAAGAAAACACTTGCTGTGTCCTTCAACTAGGCATTTAGATATATCATATTGTCAATTTACAATGGTAATTTCCATAATGATTCCTATGTCGATACGATATACTCAGTATCCTGTTGAGCTTGAGATAAAAGATACCACAGAGTCTGACACATCTGTTTCATATTTGGATATTGAACTTGAAAAAGACGTTGATGGTAAACTAACAACCAAGCTCTATGATAAACGTGATGACTTTAATTTTTCTACTTCCCTTACTTAATATGCAGCAATTTACCTTCATGACCTGCATACGGAGTTTACATATCTCTGTTCATTCGATACGCAAGAGCATGCTCTATGCAGGAACAATTTCTTAAACGAGGTAAATTATTGACATACAAGTTAATGAAACAAGAACATCAGCAGTCTCGTTTTAAATCATCATTTCGTAAGTTCATATGGTCTATACAATGGCCTTGTCAGCAAATACAATTTATCATTGAGTCAAAAGCTGATTGACGTTTTTCTTATGGACTTTGATATTGAATACTGTTCGATTTCTCCATATCCTTCATTTTTATATGTTTCATCAAAGGAAATTATTATTACTCAGAAATCTGTTCACGGTCACAATATACTCGCAGCATTTTCCAGGGTAAGTTTTTCGTGGTGTTGGGGAAAATATATTGGCTCTTGGGAACTTAACATTGTGGCTGAAGAATTGTTTAGTAGTTATTAATGTGAAAACTTGAATTTCGTGGTGGACATAAATTCATGAGTCTCGGTTTTGAATCCCCCTGTAAGACGTGGAGACCGGTCCTTCCGATGAGAGTCAAAGACTGTCTAAACCGAGCCCTGTGTCGCAGATGTTGCTGGCACGAAAAAGATCCCTCACTGCTCAATGGTCCAGAGTGCCGAGTATAGGACAAAATTTGCAGCTCTACACCGGCAAGTGGTGATGTTTCCATATCATAGTGATGAATTCTCGGGAGGGACGTTAAACAATAAACCTTGAAAATCCCGCAAATTAGTGATTTCACAGTTAATTTGGAATTATAGCTCAAAATTTAAAGTTTGGTAAATTTAAAAACGTTTTGTTTTATTTTGGTACAGTGTCAGAAGTATTTTGATTTATGCTGAAAAGCCGATACACACAATATTGAAGATTTTTATTGACTGATGTCACGGCGTCAGGACTATTTTTTGCACTGTCCCCCAATCGCATAAAAAAGAGGAAGAAATATATATTACATATTCAATGAATCTCTAGCATTAATTATGGAAATCTGTGAGTATATGTAAACTGTTCATATTATTTTTAAGTTAAGAAGAGAATTAAAAATCGGATACCAATAATACATGACCTTGCTAGAGACACAGAACCATCTGATTGGGTGGTAAAAATCGAAAGCCAAGATTTAAGTTGAGAAATACAACACCGCTCTATTCTTATTACAATTTTATAAGATTTTAATAATGTTAAAAGGAGTTTACATACCACAAGATTTGGTAGTATTTTACAAGAATTTTTGCAGAGATCTTACCGTATGTATCGACCTTCAGTTTCTTCATGATAACATACGCAGAATGCACTAAGACAATACAAGTGTTTTTATTTACGGTAGAAACAATTTCCCTTGCGTAACAATAAAAATGTTTCGCTATACCATGCGTCAGCCTACGAATTATGTCAGTCATAATTTATTAGAAAGTTTGGCGTGCATTTGTGTACGCCAAACATCACATTTTGGCGTTTTCTGTTTGAAAAGGCTATTTGCTGTGAAAAATCGAATTAATTTTTAAGGTCAGTCGAGAGTTTCATTTTGATGGAATATTTAGAAACAACACATAAGATGTTTTTTTACGCGCAATACCAGGGGTCCTAGGCCAACACTTTTGACCCCCTGGCAAATGTAATTCAATAATTCATGGGCTGATTGTAGCAACATCTTTCGTAAAAATCTGAGAGAAAAGCTAGCCAACTAATTTCAAAATTAAACTAGTGCTAATTGTAACGGGAACCGTTACAGATGTTCCCCAAACGCTCCCCAACTCCCTTTCGGTGCCATATTCCCTGTAAGCTTCATTAAATAAGACAAACTCTGTGCATTTTTGACTTTTACAACGTTTTCCCAGAAGGATACCAATTATATTCAATTTTTAGCATTGCACCCAAGCCCATGTGAATGCATGTGCGTTATGACCATATCATCTTATCTACACTATTTATATATTTTAATATACTATATATTAAAGCATTCAGTCCAAAAGTAATAAAATCACTCATTCAAGAGTATTTTTGAATATACTCGTTTCAAATGCACACATGTGCATGCACGTGCATGATGACCATACCTTCTTGTAGGAGTCCCTTACATCTATCTATGTTCTAAATCCCATCCTGTTTGGTTGAAAACAAGGGAGTTATAGCCATTTAATGCGTGCATGCGCTTAATTTCATGATTTTTTGTATATCATTTTGTAGGATATCCTAATGCATGACTATATTTTAAATTTCAAAGAATTTCGTCAAAAAAACAAAGGAGAAATAGCAATTTAAAGTTTCAGCCAATCAGATTGCAGCACACGTGCATGCGCGTGATTCATGATTTTTTTTCTATAGCATTTCGTAGGATATCCTAATGCATGACTATATTTTAAATTTCAAAGAATTTCGTCAAAAAACAAAGGAGAAATAGCCATTTAAAGTTTCAGCCAATCAGATTGCAGCACACGTGCATCCGCGTGATTTCATGATTTTTTTTCTATATCATTTTGTAGGATATCCTAATGCATGACTATATTTTAAATTTCAAAGAATTTCGTCAAAAAACAAAGGAGATATTGCCATTTAAAGTTTCAGCCAATCAGCTTGCAGCACGCGCACATGCGCATGCTTTCATGAAAATTCTTATATATCATGCGGTAGATCTTCATAATGTAGGACTATGTTCAAAATTTCAAAGGATTATGACAAGAAACAAGAAAGTTATTGAGACTTTAGTTTCAACCAATCAGAGCGAAGCGCACGTGCATGCGCGTGAGATCTTCTATTTTGACCAGCTATCTTGTCTATACTACTAATGTATCCTTACATTATGAGTTTCAAAAAATTTCATCAAAAAATAGAAAAGTTACGGCAATATCCATTATATTGGTAATTTCACCTATACGTGCGCGCTCTTGCAAGCATGCGCGCAAAATACCTTTGTTTAACTTTAACATGCCTACTATAAACAGGTTTCACCTAAGTCGGATGTGTAGTTTACAAGATCACTCGTGGACAAAATTTTCCCAGGAAGAAGAAAAATAATAATAAGAATAATAATAATAAGAAACAGAGTAAAAACAATATGTTCCCCAACTTCGTTTGGGGAACATAATAAGTCAGGGGTCCAATAGCAATGTGTTTACTCAGAACCCCAGGGTTACGGTTAGTCATTAACCCTAACCCTAACACAGTAGGCTAGGACATAAAAAATTATATTATTTAATATTTATACTATGGATTAAAAATGTATTACCGGGTAAAGTGCCTGTGATATACATCATGAATATTGTAGTAAAATATTGTAGTTTAAAAAAGGTAAATATCAAAGTCAATCAAACAATCAACTGAGCTGCTGATCAAAGGTCGATCAAAAAAGTACTGATGGACAAAATCTTTTGTCTAAGTGGATGTATATTTATATAGTATATGATGTATATCAGGTTATAATTTTTGAGAACAAGATTACAAAATATGACAGTAAAAGATCAAATATATTTTTACATTTCCTTGAATATTTTGTCTCCTTTATTTCTTAGAAAACCATTGCCAATTATGTTGATTCTCTGAAAAAATATGTACATTTATTTCTAAAATTAATAATATTGTCTGTTCTCCTTAGTTATCACCTTCTGCTTGACCCACTGTATTATATGTACATGTATTACTATATTTTTGTACCTCATTTACCATTTACATGGTTTTAAGTGAATAAATTGAACTGATTTATCAGTTCATGAACAATACTAGACATATCGCCTGTACAGATTTCTTGATCAGTGGCTGTTCTATCAATTAAATGTACGTATTATGACGTACGTTTCAATAAGTTTAACACAATGATTTATCTTTTTAATCCTTATTTAAATATACTTTAAATATCTTTATACAGATATAAATATTAACAGTTTTAAAATGTCAAGTACATATACTTTGGTTGTTAGTTAACATAACTCGCTTATTCGGGATATGTTTTCCGCAACGTGCAGCTGCGACACTAATTTCCGTACTAAACAACTAAACAACTAAAGAAAGCATTTTATTGTTTTAAATAATCATAACAATCATACTATTATGTTCATTTGTTGTAAATTTTAAATTTATTAGGGGTAAATGCAAAATTTACAACATAACCATCTCCCCCTATAGTAAATCCTAAATTTACAACATGATAATATAATTTAAAACAATACAATAACACACCTATGATACGTGATCCCACCTCTGATGTTTACTTTTAACAGGACCTGTTTAAGGTGTCCTTGTTTGCACTACTCCCTATTTGTATTGTTTGAATGGACTCTGAGCTTCAATATAAACAGTTTGTTTATGTGTTATTTTTATGTATAACAAAAATTCTATTGAAACTTGCCCTCAGGGAATAAGATTTTTCATGGAGGAAGAAAGCTTCGTGTCTCCCTCACTATCATTCAATATATAGAAAATAATAATACCCTTTTCCATATCACATCCTGTTTCAACCCGGGACACCAATATCAGCCAGAGGGCTGATACAGCTATTGTGACCGCAGGCATATATCGCATTTGCTGAAATTTTATTACTTTAGTATGTAATGTATTTATTATTCACAAATAAAGGGCCCTCAAAGGCATATACAATTGTTATAATATGATTACAGTCATAGAGAGTATTGAAGTATATTGTAATATGACATAATAATTAAGACTATTATGGAACAAGATCAATTTACTTACTCTGTACATCCATTATTTTCTTGAAGTTAAATTATGAAATCTGTGCAGGACAAAAATAAATTCATTTCGATCCCGATGTAAATATAAGATCTGTAACTTTGCTAGCTACACTCTTTATATACTGGAATCGTCCCTTGTTCGTCTGTTTAATCCTTTAAAGATTCTATCATAATAAGTGTTTACCTATTTATTCTAAGTTAAAGAAAAATAATATTATTACGAAGCAATGGATTATGTCAATTTTGTAGTGAGCACAGTATAGAAGATGAATATCAGTTTTTGCTTGAATGTCCTATCTATGAAACAGATCTCCAAATATGTACAAGCTTACTCAGTTACTCAGCTCTCATGATGTTAGGGTTTTAATTGATGTAGGAAAATTTATTCTCCATGCAATGGAATTAAGAAATAATGAATAGTTTAATTTATGTGTATACATGAATTATATACTATAGTTATTTTTCATGTAATAATAAAGAAATTAAATTATATGGAGTATTTGTTGGTGTATGGGAGTCAGACAGATGGACACTAGGGGTTCCACCCCCTGCAGACTCTCGCCACTCGTTCTTTATATTTGTTTTTGTTTATATATATAATGATGAGCCGTATGGCTTAAAGTTATTCAATATAGAGTTATGATTAACTACAAATACTTCCAAGTTATGTTCTAATGTTGTCTAATTCAGAAAGTCGTCTGAAAACTATCATGAAAAATAATATTTATAGAACGATATGACCCTCAAGAGCTGCTACATGATTTTGGTTTCGTTACCAGGACAGGAATTTCACGGGGTAAATTTTTGACAAGCAAGTTGATGAAACAAGAATATCAACAGTCTCGTTTAAAGTCATCATTTCGTAAGTTCTATGGTAGATACAATGATCTTGTCAGCAAATTCAATTTATCATTGAGTCAAATGCTGACTGACGTTTTTCATACTAATTGTTGATCCATTATTCATAAACTGAATTGACGACGGATGTTTCCGTTATTTCCCGATCATGACAAGGAGCACGCGGCGGGTTTGACCGGTCAGCTGGTGATGCTCACTCCTCCATGGCACCTGATCCCACCTCTGATGTTTCGGAGGTCCGTGTTTGCTCTGCTCCTGTTTTGTATTGTTTTGCGGACTTTGAGGTTGAATACTGTTCGTTATCTCAATATCTTTCTTACTCAGCAATTCGGGCCAGGCTGAAATCTATATTGTCTTGTTAAACCTGGTTTTTTGTACTATTATGACTATTGTTGGGTAAAATAAATTCACATCTGCTTGTACATAGAGTGAGGTATGTTGTAAAATATTTTTCACTGGTGGATTTCGAACTTTGATATTTTTTCAATTAATTTATCTTTAAAATAGTTTAATAAAAAATGAATTAGAAATGTCGTTAAAGGATCTTCTGTCTGACATTTGACCTTTTGATAGACTAGTATCTGAATATCTATTTTTTTTAGAATGTACATGTCTAAGTGCGAAAAGTAGGTCGGCTTATATACGGTAGGAAATATAAACCTCGTCATTCAATATGAAATTACAGATATTTTTCATGCAATTTGAAATTGTCTTCGTTTGTAAGGCTCATTATATGAACTGTATTTTAGAACAACTTGGATATAATTCTACAAGTGGTAATCAAACTTATACTCACAGCTCCCTTTCTAAGGAAGAATGATTTCAAAATCTCATGTCAGTTTTGAATATTTTTAAGATCCACAAAAGTCAAAATGAATTTGAATTATCATATCTATATTGGATTCCGAAACATAAAAATCCTTAGAAAAAAAGATACACAGCAGATTCCAGTAAATATTCAAACAAGCCTCTTTCTTTATACTCCTCACTTAGATAGTGTAAAAGCAGTGAAGGAGAAACATCAAGAGTACTGTGCAACAAAATATCCAAGAAGTGGTGTAAATCAGATGTGGATAATTAAAAATTCCAAAGAACTTAAGCAATTTGAAATCACAAGATTTTTACCAAAATCACAGCTTAAAAACTTACGACTTTTCAACTTTATACACAAACGTTCTCCTCTAGGCTTCTTGATATCATTGACAACTGCTTTTTCTATAAAAATGGAAATCGCAAATTTACTTACCTTGGCACTGGTCTTTTGCAAAACTATTTTGTTTAAAAAAACATACTGTTTGTACACACAAGTACTCTGAAATAGTTATCAAAAAGATGATTGAGTTTCTGATTGACAATATCTATGTGGTTTTTGGAGACCAGGTCTTCGAACAATCTACTGGAAATTCCCAAGGGTACCAATTGCGCCCCGTTACTAGCAGACATATTTTTGTATTCATATTTAACAGAATTTGTGCAAAATCTTATACTGAAAAGAAGAAAGCATTTGTGACTTTAAACTCGATAGATTTATCAACGACTTATTGTCATTTTACAATGGTAATTTCTATTCTTATGTCAATACGATATATTACGACGGCGTATTCGTGCCAAATAGAAAATGTAGGAAAAAAATTTAAATCGTTTGAATGATTTATAAAATCGTTTGAACGATTTAAGAAAACGTTTGTACGATTTAAGAAAATGTTTGTACGATTTAAGAAAACGTTTGTACGATTTAAGAAAACGTTTGTACAATTTGTTAACTCGTTTGTACAATTTGTTAATTCGTTTGTACAATTTGTTTGTTAAATCGTTTGTACAATTTGTTAAATCGTTTGTACAATTTGTTAAATTGTTTGTACAATTTTTAAAAAATTGTTTGTACAATTTAGGAAATTGTTTGTACGATTTAGAAAATCGTTTGTACAATTTGTTAAATCGTTTGTACGATTTTTTTTCTTCTGATTCGGAACAGAAGCGTACTGAATAAGAAACCTGGTAAAGCTATTGCATAGAGAAGTCCATTCCCTGCTGACTATAACAGGTACAGAAACACTTATAATAAATTGTATCTTGTTACTTAACCTGTATGAATATTATTGTAATGTTATCATTAGTAAACCATCATATCATGATTACATTCACAATGTTCATTAAATTTTGTCATGTTTGTTAGCCCCACATGAATGACCATAATACTATGATGACAAGTCGCATCTTCATAAAACTTCATAGACCATTAGACATGACGAGATAAAGCATCTACTCAAGGTCAATCTGACATCCACTACTTTTTACTTCTTTAAAACTTTAGTTTTAAGAGTAAGATGTTGCAGCAACCTTCATTTGTTAATGACCAACAGAAATGATGTATACATGCAGTTATTTCATATACCAGGCAGATGCCAGACAACTAGTGTTCTATATCTATTCCAATGCGCCGCAGGCTTCAAAATAGCTTTAAAAGTGGAAACAATACAGTATGGGTTAACAAAAATAAAGTAAAACTCTTCTAAAGGACTAATACCCTATAGCAACCCGTGTATAAGGTAACATTTAGATCCAAGTCCACCTTGACCTTGACCTTAGTCATAGGTCCTTGGTCAAGATTATGACACATCCTTGGGTCATGGAGATTAATTGTATGAAGTATTGGCAACATCTAACATACCAGTAAGAAGTTACCGTCCAGATACGATTGAACTGATGGACAGAGACAGGGTGATGCCAATATAACACCCCATCTTTGTTCGAGGGGGTATAAATCATACAAACGATTTAAAAAATCGTACAAATTCTTTAACAAAGAATCTGGGGGAATTAGGCGAGTCATATGCCCACACGGATTTTGTCGCTCTGTAAGCATATCGGAATAGTCGTACGATTTACCTAAACATTTAAACTTTGTACAGCACTGTCCAAATGACAATATCTACATTTTTAAACTTTACGGTTATTGTTACAGTATTTTTAAACATGTAATGCTTTTCATACTGCGTGTATCGACTATGTTTTCAGGGGTTGGGAGATGGTACGCTTTACCTTTCCTTTTACAATGTAACTGTTTTTGCATACGGAATAGCCATACCCTGATGGTCTACCCATGATTGTTTACATTTCAATTGTGCAATGTAGTCTTGAACTGAATGCATTCAAAATGTTATATATCTTGAAAACTTGTTTATTATAGGAAATATATTAATTGACCGTAAATAAATTCATTATCTTATTTTTTCACTTTGTTTTTAGTGAAAAAATATATTCATCTATAAATTTCAATCTAAACTTTTTAAAATTGTGATTTGAACACTCGCGACAAATGATATGGTGCTTCAACACCGCCGCTATGACCACTGAGCCACGAAGTTGCATATACCTTACCCTTTAAATAACAAACAGTTCTATATATACGAGTATAGCAAACACACAATTGGACTTAGAGTTTTTGAGAATATGTTCCGAAATTTAAGTAGGAAAACTAACTTTTTTATATAGAGTGGGTCTTCGTACCATGTTTCTGAAAATGGTGATAGATACATCCTTCCATTCCCTTTCAATATTTCTTTACAGAAAAATGGTACGAAGACCCACTCTATATAAAAAACACAGTTTTAACATTCAATTTCTATCATTTTTACGGTTTCTAAAGCGTGTTACCATTTTGGTGGGTTAATTACAATCAATTTCTAAGTCATTTGATTCAGGTTTTATCTTTACTGTATGCATAGGGTTATAAATAACTCAAATTTAACAAAAAGTGGAATTTGTAAGAATTCTTAAATTTGATATTTTACCTGCCCTCGCGTAGGCATATGACTCGCCTAATCCCCCCAGATTCTTCTACATCGTACAAACGATTTTTAATTTTTTTTCTTCATTATCAATTTGGCACGAATACACCGTCGTAATATATCCCGGTGAGCTTGAGATAAAAGATACCACATAGTCAGACACATTTGTTTCTTATTTGGATATTTAACTGAAAAAAAAAACGTGAATGGAAATCTAACAAGCAAGCGCTATGATAAACCTGATAACTTTAACTTTACAAGCGTCAACTTCCCTAACTTACGCAGCAATATACCTTCATAATATGCATACGGAGTTTATATATCTCAATTGATTCCACACGCAATATATACGTATTTTTTTTATTAAACAATTATTTGAAAAAAGATAAGTAAACAAAGAAAGAAAATTATTACATTGTCGTATTAAGGTTTAATAAAAAGAAAGTATTAATCTGAAATTTGAAAGATTATTCAATTATTATTTTTATATACAGTATACATATAATTGCATTAAATTGAAGTCAGTTGAGGCCCAACACCACGTTTTTCCAATGAATTATATAGTAATTTTTTTCTTTAGACTAACATCTCATTCTTCTTGTGCTTGAACGTCTAATGCCAGAATATTTTGGTTTTAAACCTTTGAAAGACCTCCCTTTAGATGCCAGGCGTCCAATAAGACGTCCAATAAGTCTGAACAATGCACCGATGCCTCTCTTCTTGCGGCCACAGTTAGATTTAGACTGGAAGCTTACAGACCCGGACTTGCCTTCTTTAACATGACTTCGTCCCTCTTTCCAGCCATCAATCACCTTTTGGTGTGCTTTATCTGGTCCCCCATAACGAGAGGCACGTTGATACCGGTCATCTATTATCTTATCCATCCTGTCTAACTGGGTTTCCACATTCACACCTACATAGCAAAAACTTCAACAATGAAACTTAATTTATAATAACAAGAAGAAAATACATTCGAAAAATTAATTTTTAAACTCTAATCTTCAATAATGGATAAGCTAACTTTATATCGTTGAAATTAATGAGTAAGAAAGTGTACTCTGTCAAACTTTTTTTTAAATCTGTCAAACTGCAAAATTCAAAATTGGAGTTCAAAAAAAAAAAACCCATCAATATTGCACTTTAAAAATTTCGGTCAAAATTTTGTCTTTTACAGGTTTAAAAAATGAGTTATTCTCTTTTATAATTAATTCTATAACACGTGAACAATGATCAACCACAATCGAGAGGACGACATGAGTTCATCTCATTCCACGCTGGATGAATAAAATAATAGTATATAGAGATAATGAACAGTATTCAAGCTCAAAAGTCAATTCAAACAATAACCAGAAGTTTCTGACGACACTGTAGCTCTACTGGTTTATACGTATGACGAAGGAAGAGAAAAGTGGCATTTGAACTTAAAACTTTGCAAAAGCTATAGATTAAACAATGGTCTTTGATATAGTCTTTTTCTTGGCAAGATTTATTGCAATCAGACAAAAACTGTAGGAGAAATAGCATTTTAAAAATATTTCAAAGAAATTTCAGTAACCATGATTACTCCGTTCATCAAATTCAAAAACCAATCCACAGAATTGTGCTTTTTACTGAAGTCTACTTGTGTGCCAAGTTATATTGAAATCCGACCGAAACTGTAGGATGAGTAGCATTTTGAATATAATGATTACAGGCAGATAGACAAACAAACAGGCAGACGGACGGATCACGGACACCTCACTTTCGCATAAGCTCTTCTGATCTTTGACCAGTAGAGCTAAAAATCGGGAGCAGAACTAACACAGATCTCTAAAACACCAGAGGTGGGATCAAACGCCCTGGAGGAGTGAGCATCCCCTGTCCCCTGTCACACCGACCGTATGCTTCCTATCATGATAGGGGAATATTGGGGTGAAATCCGTAGACAATTCAGTATGTAAGTAAAAGTCTAACTATTAGTTTGAAAAATATCGGTCATCTTTTGACTTAATGAAAGATTTTATTTGCCGACAAGGTCATGGTATCGACGATAAAACTTACTAATGATGACTTTAAACAAGCCTGTTAATATTCTCAATTCTTCAAATTGTTTGTCAGTTACATTCCTTGTTTATGAAATTTTTCGTACGTAGAGTATGCTTTTGTGTATCGAATCAACTGAGAGATATAAACATATAAATAAAGGCATATTGCTACCAAAGTAAGGGAAGTTGAGAGACGCGTACTTTACAAATGCTACTTTATTTTAAGAATGCCTTCACTTTAAAATTAAAGCCATGTTAACTTTTTATCCATAGTTATTTTTATATTGATATGCACAATTAGACCAGGTTAGGGTGAAGCTTCGATTGGGCGCGTGTGTGAGGAAGGGTGTGTGTGTATGTGCAATGGGGGGGGGGGGGGGGATTATCGACAAGGAAAAAGAAAACACAAAAAAAATTGTAATACTAATAAGATACTAATAAGCAAACCGATAACTGTTTAAATTAAAACAGTGAACTAGTCCGATCCTCAGGCTTATAAATTTAGCAGTTAAGTAATCAAAAATACTCATAAAAGTATTTTTGAATCCACAAAGTAATGTAAAGAATGGGTGGACTTAACGCCCTATTTTGGATCTTTTTGAGACTACTCGAACAAGTAGAAAATAAAGTGAATCCAAAATATATTACAACCACTAGAAAGAGCGACGTATACATGGTTTTTTTTTTTTTTTAGCTAGAACACGTGTACAAAAGCAATGCCTTATTGCCATGAATCAAAATTGAAACAAGGATACATTAGTGTCGTTTTCCGGAATTTGACATGTACCCGGAGTAGTTTTTAGGTCGCGATATCAATATTAATCGGAGGCGGGGCTATCGATCGGTGTCATTGTTGACATATCTCTCTCTCTCTCCATCTCTCTCTCTAGAAATTCGAATACGTGTTTGGAATATTGCAGCGATGTCATTATGAGTTTTTTTTTTAAAATGTGAGGACACGCAAAATTAAAACAACATTTAATGTGCTAAATTCTGAAAACGGCACCAAACATAGTGATTTACATCTAGGTCAGGTTGAAGAATACAATATAACTATTTCCACGAGTACACTCACAGGCGGACATCACGTGATGAATTGTAATATTTAACAGGTCAATCGAAGTCATAACAATGGAAGCGAGATGTTTGTTTGGAACATGTTTTCTGTTAAATTAAGTGTGAGCGCACGTTTGTCGGCTCTTCTCCTTTTAATATTACATTATTTTGTTCAATATACAACTACAGTTTTCGTAAAAAAAGCCGACAAACATGCGCTGACTATGTATTCAGACGATGAAAAATGCGTGACCCTGATTATCTATTGATATTCAACAAATCTTCAGGCACCATGCCTTCGATATTTATTTAGTTTACCTCGAAAAGAGCATTTTAAATTCACATCCGTACCATAAATACACAGTTAAGATATAGGGGGTTTATATGATGGAAAAAAATTTAACATTTTATGGAAATTAAATTTGCGGCATTTTTTCTGGCTAGTTAAGTCCACCCATTCTTTATCTACAGTTTATCTTTTAACGATCCTTAAAGTTAAAGATAAAAGTTAATCATATTATATAGGGAAAATTGTCAAATCTCCAATATTTTTGCAGAAAAAGCGAATTGGAATATTAGCAATAAATTTTCTGAAGGCAAATTGATCAACAAATAATGATATTTTCAGTGTAAAAAGATAGCTATCCAGGCATCCAGAGAAATTGTCATGATTTTCATACTTATTTGTATTTTTTGTCTTCTATTTCCGTCATACATTCTATAACACATAGTGTAAAAGGCTTTTTCTATCATTGCAAGGCACCACAAATCACTTCTTATTTTATATCATGCTAATGATTATTGGTATCTAAGGCTGGATTAAGAAAAATATTATTTCTCAAAAACTGTATTTTTTTCCTTTTATACATATGTAGGGTACAATTTTTATAAGACCTTTTCCAAGACTTCCAAAAACCTAGGATCTTTAAAGATAGATAAAATAAAAATTTTTGCATGAAAAAATTTCATTTTTAAGCTTCATGTTGATGCATTCAAATTATATATTAATTTCTGGAGTTATCCTTCCTGGCTGAGGATCGGATATTATAATTTTATCTATACTATGTATATACCTTTTCCAGCTTGTTTTGCATAAAAGTCTGTGGAACTTCTAACGGCATCACCATAATTTTTGACTCCCAGACTCCCCCAGTTGTCTATCCTTCCCTTCCCTTGTATGGCGTTTTGAAATTCCTGTTCAAGACCCTTTTCTGCAAAATATTGCCGGAAGTACTGGTACTCATTTTGATCATCAAATAAACCCCGTTTATATCGATGTCTGGAACACAAAAGAATTTATTAATGACACACTCATTAACTGCATCACACATTAATATATACTGTCAGAGTCAAGTCTCGAAGAATCAACAGTTAAATTTAAAGATAGTATACATGTAATATGAAAAAAAAAACCCAAAAGTTTTCTGGATTTCCTGCAAGGAACTTGGCCTATCGCAGAGGATAAAAAAATTAAATACATCTATAATATAATTTAATCTCTTAAATTTATCGTGAAAACAATAATAATATGAAGGAATGTATCCACAAATAACAAAAAAAAAAAAAAAAAAAAAAAAAAAAAAGAAAGAAAAAAAAACCAAGTTGGAATAATTTCACTAATGAATAAAAAAAGAAATCACAATAAAATCAAAGTAATCTAATGTTTTATCACCTTTCAATGTCACTGCCAAGGGAGTTCGCCTTTGACAAATGTTTGTTCTCTGAAAAACGAATGTTTCAAAAATCAGAGAAAAATAAACCTTTCTAAACGCTTCACATTTTCTAATGGGCATTAAGCAGAAAAACTGTTATTAAATAAAACTAGCCAACATATTTGTTAAAAAAAGAAAGCTTAATTTGCTGCTTTTCATTTCTGTGTATTGTAAAAATAATAATAAAAAACGATTTTTTGTAAAAAAAAGTTTTTTTTAATTGTTTTTTTTTATCAAGAGTGACATGATGTACATGTACCGGCAATATAAAGTACATGAATCAAATATCAATTGAAGCAATGCAATCTCGATATACATTTTTCTAAATTAATTTATTTAAAATACATACTAGTATATTTACCTGTTTGACTGAGGCATTACAGAAGCGAAAGATAAATAAAACATACTAAGTATTTCAAAATAAAAATTAAAAACAAACTCAAGCGCCTTTGCATATATAGTCAAACTGTTTTATATTTATTATTGTTGAGTACATATACATACTTAATCGATCAAAATATCAACTATTATTTGCCCTGAATGGCTCTTTAGATATGTTGCTTTTAGTGATAATATTTAAAGTTACCTGAACTCACAGAGACGAGCAAGGAAACAAACAGAAAAAACGTCGTCAAAGACATTGTCTAAAAGTGAAGACAAAATAAGGATTAAAATCAAGGCATTTATTGTTGGGAGATGTCTTTGCAACATGCTTGTTCGTACTATGAAAAAAAAATGTTGAATAGAAATGCATGCAATTTACGTTACGTTAAAATCTTAATAGTATTAATAAATATTCAATTATTAAGCTTATTAAACACGTACGAAACGATCGGTCTAGACGAAATGGGAAAACCCTTACCTTAGTAATGCGGCAATATTCAAAATAAATTTAATGTTTGTTCCTCTTGGACTTTTAAAGAAAAGCAACACGGAAGAAATTAACTTATGAACTTATATATATGCTGCTGACCTTCTTTCAAACCTCTTTCGTGTATAGGAAAACATTAGTACTTCAACGAGAACTAGAGAACCATAGAAAACAGCGCACACCGTACTGTACTAATCATTTCTCGGCTCTTGTTGTCGAAATGGATTAATAATTAGAGTGTCCGGATGGCTCTAGAGCTTAGAAAAAACCCGCCCAGTTCCTAAATATAATATTCATACATTGCAAATTTGTGGACTCTTGTTCCGAAAAAGGATATGTACGTACCAGTGTATATTCTGATCGAATCCCTTTACAAACAGTTTTCAACATGCCATAGCGTCGTGTTCTATAACGTCTCATGAAAGATATGAATTTATGTTTGAATTATCAGACGAACGAATACAATAAGATTTACACAGATTTTGTCATTTTAAATGAGTACGCTTTTTACTTCGCTGTTCTTAGGGGTACCCATGAACAAGTCTTTGACAAAAAGAAGTTCATGTTAAAATGTTTTTCATTTATAGTTTCTAGTATAATCATTTACATCGAGAAGGTGTTTAAAACAAAACATGAGGTTGTTTAGGTCTCCCGTCTTTAGCGGAAGACCTTGTTCTTCTTAGGTTTCTTTTCCACTATTTTTAAGATCTTCGTCTTCAGCGCAAGACCTTCCTGTTATTCTTAGGTTTCTTTTTCACTTTTATTATTATGGTCTTCCGTATTTAGCGAAAGACCTTGTTATTCGTTGGTTTCTTTTCCGCTGCTTTTCTTCTTCTTTTTTTCTTACCGATTTTGTGCGCGCAATTTCTCGGAAACACCTCGTTAGATTTTAATGAAACTTTCAGGTCTGATAAAACATAAAAAAATTCTCGATTTTTTTTATTTTGATGACGTCACTTCCGGTTTGAAGATTTTCGCAGTTTAATGATTTTTTAGGGTCAATTTGTCCTTTGCTCTTCTATAAAACAGCTCATCACAGGAAGATGAAACTTTAAGGGATGATAGAGCAACATAGATTTGCATTGTGTTATTAACTTTTACCGAAAGTACTGCACGTAAATGCACGGTATGGTTTGAAAAAGTCATATTGAGAGTTTCAAATTTTCTTACATTTTCTCTATGATATCTTTTTGCTTGTAAATGTTTTGTAAAAACATGTAAAACAAAATTTGTCCAGAACTAAAAGATCTTTCAAATGATATCTTTAAAAAAGGGCTGGCCCCTTAATTAAGGGATCAAGAGGGGCCAAAAGGTTGTTCCCGATATCTCAAGAAGTGTTGACAATTTGTAATAATGCAAAGTTGTTCCAAATGTCAAGCAAAATCTATTAAAATCATCAAAAAACGTCCGGTGACGTCACTTCCGGCCAACCCGGAAGTAGTCAAAAATGCATATTTTTGCCATATTTGACACAATTGTGGGTAGTATATATCACAGGAAGCTTTAAACTTGTTTAATTTTTCCGTCCATCGACAGCTCTTCCAGTCAAACCGGAAGTAAAAAAAAAGCTTCTGCAATAATCAACACAGATTTGGAAGATTTAAATCATCAGAGATGTCATGACTCTTTTTTTTAAAAAAAAGGAAAGAAAAGGAAACATTACTTCCGGTCTAACAGGACGGAAGACCTACTCGTTGCTTTGCAACGAGCTTTGCTCTAGTCATGATTGTTTTTTCTTACCGATTTTGTGCATGCAATTTCTCGAAAACGCCCCGATGGATTTTCGTAAAACTTTTAGGACTTATGTTACGTTGCTTAAACCTTATGCGTTTTTTTCTGTTTTAATGTCGTCACTTCCGGTCCGGAGTTATACCTCTTAAATGATTTTTTAAGGGCCAGTTTGTTCGCACGATTTCTCTTAAATGCATAGCTTTAGATAGACACATGATACTTTCAGATATGGTAGACCTACATGTATGTCTGTAGATTTGTGGATTGAATTCATTTTTTTCGGAAGTGCAGCACGTCAGCGCTTGCAGGCACGTAGCATCGTTTTTGAAAGTGGGGGGGGGGGCGCCAGAATTTTTATTAATTTTTACTCATTTTGAAAAGTTGACAAGCAAAAAAAAAAAAAAAAAAAATAAAAATAAAAATAAAAAGAAAAGAAAATCTGCCAAAACTCTAAAATCCTATTTCATTGGGGGTGGGGTGGGGGGGGGGGGGGGGGGGGGGGGGGGGGGGGGTAGTGGCCAACTTTTTTCAAGACCAACTACATTTCACTTCCAATTTTTTTGGCATACAATACCACATTTCCTTGATTGATATCACTTTACTGTAGTAAGTAGTGGGTGGCTAACAAACCTTTTACTGGACATTTCCGAAAGTAAAGGTAATGTTAGGAAAAAGGTGTCTCCCCCATCCCCCTGTTGCACGTGACTGGCTCGCTATGGCCCGAAAATAGTCATCGCTAATTTCAAAATTTTTCACATCTTTTCTAAGGTATTTTTTTTACCTGGAAATATTTTGTTAATACACATTGAACAAAAGAAGTGTAGAATTCCAGAAAACGTTCAAGTGAAATCTCGCTCGCCTCTAAAATTATCTTAGATTTTCATGAAACTTTCAGGTCTGATAGAACATAAAAAAAATCTAGATATATATTTTTTATTTTTATGACATCACTTCCGACTCGGAGTTTTCAGCGATTTGGTGAATTTCAGAGGGTCACTTTATCAAGCAGTTTTCTCAAAAAGCACTTAACACAGAAGCATGAAATTTTCAGTGATGCTAGAGGAACCTTTGGTGAAGTGTATTTGGTTTATCACAACCACCGGAAGTACGAAGCGCCGACGCTCGCTATGTCTCAAAAATAGTCCTATCGTTAATTTCAAATTTATAACACTAAAATTTCTAACACCTTTTCTTCTATAAATTCTTACCTAGAAATATCTTGTTAAAACATATAGAACAAAAGAAGTGTAGAATAACATGATCTTTCAAATGATATCTAGAAAAAAAGGCTGACCCCTAAAATTAGGCATCTAGAGGGACCAGACGTTTTTCCTGATATCTTTAAAGAATTGAGAATTTGTAATACATTAAAGAAGCAAATTTTTCAAAATGTCAAGCTTAATCTTTTGGGGTCGTCAAAAAACGTCCGGCCACGTAACTTCCGGTCAAACCGGAAGAAGTAAAAAAAAATCTGTCGTTCTTGACACGTTTTTGGGTAACAGCTATCACTGGGAGCATTAAATTTTTGTCCGTCGTCATCATTTCCGGTCAAACTGGAAGTAGGAAAAATCGCTTATTTTTGCATTAATTAACACAGATTTGCAGAATTCAAACCATTTTTTGACGTCATCACTCTTTTTTTTTTAATGAAATATACTTCCGGTCAAACTGGACGGAAGACCTACTCGTTGCTTTGCAACGAGCTTTGCTCTAGTTCTTTTTATGTTTTCATATATACAACGTATACAAATCAAATATACATTTTTTTTTAATAAATTCTCATTGATGTATATATGTTGTAATTGATGTGTTGAAATTCAAATCTCCAAATGGAGGAAATAAAGAATGAATGAAGAAATGAATGAAACTACAGTAAATCATTCTAAAGTTCTTACAATAGTAAATCAAAATTTCAAGGTTTTGGTATAATAAATCAAAGTGTCTTTATACTTTTCAAAGAATTCACTGTACTATATCAACGTTTCAAAATTTTCACAATAGATTTACAACGTATTAAACTGTTTTTATTATATATATTTTCTTTTGCTTATTTTTTTTAGAGGGTGAATGTGCGGTTGGATGTGGCTAGCTGTTGTTGAAAAACAAATGTACACTAAATGTAAATATACAAATTATTAAACTCAAATGAAATATTTACCTTTAATCTTTATAAATGAAAAATACATATTTACTGAAGTTGATGGAGCGTGTGTTTTGACAGAAATTACGTAATTTTTTAATTAATAAAAAGTTCTCTGTAGCTTTAAAGTATTTTGGCCATGATATGTAATAATATATCAGGCACTGGAATCTAAAACACAATTTCACGGGTGTTAATATATAGTAAATTCAAGTTCCAAAATTTTCTCTATAGTAAATCAAAGTTCCAAAGTTTTCAATATAGTAAATCAAACTAATGAACTTATGATCAGGTGACACAAGAACATCTCTTATCGTATAACACGTGCTTAGTAAATTATATCAAACAGTCCACTTGACTTTACTTGACTTTATTGCACTCATTGGAGACCGGAACGTAAATTAAAACCATTGTAATCTGTGTATCCAGTATATTGTATTTGCATAAAAGTATCTCGGATGTTTTGAATAGAACTAAATTGTAGGGAAGATTTTTATCGACACTCTTTCTACAAATCTGAAAAAAGTTGCTATTTACTCAACTGGCTCATATCTCCCATCTATTTAAGAAATGAATTTATTTTTTTGAGAAATTTATGAGGATATGAAGTACGATACTTCACGCCTGCATACTTCATGAAGCTTCTGTATAAATACACAGGAGTGAAGCGCTGTAGTTCATGTATCTCATGAATTCTCCAAAAAAAAAAAAAATAAATTCATATCTTATATTTACATAATTTTTTGACGACTTGCCATATAATTTCTGTCATTCAACTATCATTTTTGAAGATAAAGTTGCATTTTCATTTTAACTTCAATCAAATCACAAAAGAAATATTCTTAATCATCCCATAGTAGTTCATGAGAAAGTAAACTTTTTCTACTTTCAAAAGAATCGTAAGGAAAATATTTGGAAATGTTAATAAGTAAGAAAACAAATTTAAAAAAATGGGTCACGGAGGCCAATATATTGTCGAAAAAATATACATGTCAAAATATTTAGGTATTGTAATGAGATTTTTTACAGTATGCTGATAGATATAAATTTACTGCATTTATTTGGAATGTGACCTGTTTTATTATTAACTGTTAGTTAAAACAATCTTACAAGAATCCGGATTTTGTTTTTAAACTCACTTGAGCCAGTGGATCAAGTGAGCGTTTCTCATTGAAAAGTGCCCGGTGTCTGTATGTCTTCATTAAAAATTTCAGCCATAGATTTTTAAATTCAACTTGAATCATATGAGTGTATATCTTAGAGAGAGAGAAAAAAAAATTGAATATGATGGTGCTTTTTCCTTTTTATTCTTGTAAAGAACATTAACAAAAAGCATGGCATTTTAACGATTAATATAAAAGGAATGAAATGACTGTTGAAAACAAGCTTTAGTATTTCGTAAAAAAGAACTTGTAAAAAGGAGAATTCACACTTTCCCTCATATCAAGATTAAGCTTATGCTTTAAACAAGGAAGAATAAAATCAGGGATTCCATTGCTGCAGGTGACCGAAAAATGACCGTTTGAGATGACGAGGAGTAATAGACTCGTGAATACTTTTTGTCCAGTATGTTACAAAACAAGTACCACTTAAAACTAAACGAATCTGACACGTTCTTATTTTACTCTAGAAGGACAAAGCTAAATCAATGACCAGCTTCACTGAAAATAATCTGAAGAAGAGACATGCATATGTGGACATCATTGCTCACTCGAATCAACAATATTCTTGCGGAAACGTTAAAGATTACACCCCATGTGAAGTTTTTGATATAAACTATGACCAAGAAGCCAGAATTTCACCAACCTATACTTCATTTTGAGTGACTTAAAAAGCCTTGCTTTTTTGAAGAAGAACATTTTATTATTGAATTAAACCTATAAAATCCAAGATTTGTTTGTTATGCTTCTATTTTGTATTGTGAAAGGACGTTTGAGCTTGAATTCTATTCCTCATCTGAATATATCTCAATTCAATAAAAATTGCTCTCCCTGGTAATTGCATCATAGATGAACCCTTTACAGGATAATTCATTGTAAACTTTCATTAATAATGTTTTATATCATAAATTAATTGACCAAAGTTAAAAAAAAACAATGTGTCATATGACTTAGCATGTTGCAATAAAGAGTGAAACATTCAGGGGGCACAATGATGTTTCATAAATGATTATAGAATTGAAAGTGGTACTTTAGAAATAACTGGAACATTGTTGACGTTTTTAAGTTGTAAAAATATTTTTGTCATAAGGAATATTTCAGACACATGGGCATGATACATTTTAAAAAAAGGTTACATGTATAAGATTTATTTTTTCTGCTCAATGTTATTCTGTAAGATTTAGGAATTATTGTTATACCGTCCTTGAGAGAATTTACTATGTGATACGTTATTCTGTTAGTAGAGGACCATAAACCGAGATTGGCCGTCTGATAGAGATTCGCAACGAAAGCAGCTGGTACGGATTTCAACACCTGCATTTAGAAAATAGATTTTAAATTTTAATCGAATAACTTGTAATGTCAGCGATTACCACTTTTTAGGAACAAGATATAATTATACTTCACATATCAGAAGTTGATCTAATTTAGTCTCCAAGATTGAAATTGCTGAAGTGATAATTATAACCAAGTTGGACTTCAACGATAGGCAATAATTGTTAATGGGAAAAGTTTATTCAGGGGACATTTACTTTTATTTTCCAATAACTAAGGAAGACTAGGACAGAGAGTGTGGAGAGGACTTAAATGTACAAACTCTAAACAAGAAATAGTTATTTATGAAACTAAGGCATTTATAATTACAAACATTTATCTTTCCCTTCTACATATATTGTTTTTCATATCTCTCCAGAGCAATCCCAATTTCCCTATCAGTGTTATCTTTCTTGGTCTAGGCAGACGCATTGCAGGTTCACATCATTTTGTATCCCAGTTTGGCTACTTCACCATATTTCAAAATTAAATTTTTACTATAAGAAGGATGTGGAGATAATTAACAGTATTCAATATCAAAAACTATAACTCAATACAAAATAGGAGCAGAGCAAACACGGACCTCCGAAACATCAGAGGTGGATCAGATCAAAGATCCATAAAAAAATAGAAATAGAGAATTTCAGATAATCAAATGTCTGATTAGTTGAATGATTTATTTCAATTTGGTAGTTTTATCTCATAAGCTTTTTACGATATTTTTTTATGCAAAAAGAAAAAAAATCTTTTGAAATAGAAGTAGGCATCACATGTTTGGCAACAGCCAATTTTAATGTCAATGGAAAGGAAATATCCTTGACCCGACTTCACTTTTAAAATAAAACGAATATGTATTGTTTAAAGTTTTATTGATGTATTATGCAAGTGATTGAAATCCATATTCTATGCTTGTCAACTCATGATCTGCAATTGATCATTAAAGTCAAGATAGAACATTGTCAAAACAAATGCTAGTAAATTTATGTATGATTTATTTCACTAGAAATGTGCACAATAAGCAAATACAAAACAAAACAAAACACAGACACCCCCCTCATTAAAAAAACAAACTAACGAGGCTATGTTATAAAAGTATAAAAAAAATATTCCAAAATTTGAAAGTTGATTCTGTTTACTGCTGTTTGAGAATGTCCTAGTAAGAATCTTAAGGTTTGACATCACATTTTTTACAAGCCTAACATTGTCTATAGGTTCTGTGAGTACTTGTACGTGTTGTGCGAACACTTGTACGTGTTCTGTATGTACGTGTTCTGCGAATAGGTGAACGTGTTCTGTACGTACGTGTTCTATATGTACGTGTTCTGTATGAACGTGTTCTGTATGTATGTGTACGTCTAACAGAAGTCCTTGTAGATGGTTGGCGACGTCGAAGGGAATCAAACAATGCCCCAAGACCAAGTGAGCCCCCAAACAATGCGCTGATACCTAGGATCGGGAGTAAGGCGATTTGACCTGACTTTGGAGTTTCGCTTGCCGTTTAGAATTCTTACAAGCCCCTCTTGCCATTTTCCGATGACATATGACCCTCATCTGGCCCTCCGTAGGGTTCAGATCGTCTATATCGCTCATTGATTATCTGCTAAACCATACTAATCTTGTTGTCCACATTCAATCCTGCATCACAAAAATTAATATCATATTATTAAAAAAATGAATATGTACAAATCATTTTAAATTATTTAAACACATATCTTACAACTAGAGGTACTGTGAGCAATGAGCTCACGAAATGATACCCCCGCCTCCTATATAAATATAATGACAGTGTTCATGTTTTATTGTGGCAAACCCAAAATATGTGTCAGATCAAAATGAAAAATAGGAGGTGCACAATGGCAATATGTAATTAAGTTTCTGTGGAAGTTTCATCGAATTTCATCCAGTGGTATGAGAGGAGTTGCGGATAAGAGATGGGTAGGCCCAAGCGTAACAGACGGACGTACGGACATACCGATTACTATATACCCTCCCGCTTTTCAAGCAGGGTGTATAATAATATTAAGCAAACTAAAAATCGTATATAAGGATTAATAATGGAATACGATATAATTCATATCAGTGTACTAATCATTCCAACCGCAAAATTCAAAATTACAGTTAATGAACTTTGCAATGTTTGAATTATACCTGTAAAAACTAGAAGTACTTTGAGCAATGAGCTCACTAAATGATACCCCCTGCCTCCCATTTGAATAAAATTGCAGTGTCCATGTTTTGCTCTGGAAAATCCAAAATATATGTCAGATCAAAAAGTAAAATAGGAGGTGCACAATGGCAATATGTAATAAAGATTCTGTGAAAGTTTCATTATATTTCCTTCAGTGGTATGAGAGGAGTTGCGGATAAGAGATGGGTACCCCAAAGCGTAACAGACAGACGGACGGACGTACAGACGGACGGAAATACCGATTACTATATACCCTCCCGCTTTTCAAGCGGGGGGTATAATTATCTACGACCTCCCACTTTATTATACCCCCCGCTTGAAAAGCGGGAGGGTATCTAGTAATCGTTAATTCCGTCCGTCCGTCCATCAACTGTACTTAATCCGTCCGTCCGTCTGTCTGTCCGTCCGTCTGTTACGCTTTGGGGTACCCATCTCTTATCCGCAACTCCTCTCATACCACTGATTGAAATTTGATGCAACTTTCACAGAATCTTTATTACATATTGCCATTGTGCACCTTCTATTTTACTTTTTTTATCCCACACATATTTTCACAGCTCCCGGCCACAGGAAAACATGGCTTTTTTCACCAGTTATAACCATATGGGAGGCGGGGGGTATCATTTAGTGAGCTCATCGCTCACAGTACCTCTAGTTTAACAACTTTTCCTTTCCGACTTGTATTTGCTGACAAGGACATTGTATCGACCATTGGACTTACGAAATGATGACTTTAAATGAGACTGTTGATATTCTTCTTTTATCAACTTATTTGTGATTAATTTATCTCGTAAATTTTTTATATACATAAAGCATGCTCTTGCGAATAAAATCAACTAAGATGTATAAAATCAGTATGTAGGTGATGAAGGTTTTATTGCTTCATAAATAAGTCATCACGTGTATCATAAAGCTTGGATGTTAGATTACCATTTAGTCTACTCAAGTAAAATATCCAAATATGAACCATATGTGTCAAACTCGGTAGTATCTTTTATCTCAAGCCCACCAGGATATATCGTATCGTATCGACATAAGAATGGAAAATACCATTGTTTATTGACAGTATATTGTAGATAGATGTAAATGTCGAGTTGAAGGCCACAGCATACGTTTTCGTCTTTTCATGCATAGGATTTTGCACAAATTCTGCTTCATATGATTATAAAAATAGGTTTGCCAATAACGGGGTGTAATGGGTACCCACGGGAATTCCAACAGATTGTTGGAAGACCTGATCTCCAAAACCACATAAATATTGTCAATCAGAAATTCAAGGTTTTTATTTCTACTTCAGAGTAATTTTGTGTACAGTCAGAATGTATTTTATTACAAAATAATTTTGCAAATGACTAATCACAAGGTAAGTAAATTTAGGACTTCCATTTTTTTGAAGAAGCAGTATCAATTATAAAAAAAAGCTTTGAGTTTTATTAAATTTAATTGAGGGGAATTGTTTTGTATAAAGTTGATAAGTCATATGTTTTTAAGCTGTTGATTTTGATAAAATCTTGTGATTTCAAATTTTCCAAAAGTTCTGTGGAATTGTTTTGTATAGAGATCTGATCTACTTCTTGTTGCACATGACTATTAAAGTTTCGCCCTCACTACTGTTAATATTTTAGTGAGGAGTAAAGAAAGATGCTTGGTTGAACATTTACTCGAACCCGCTATGTTTCTTTGTTTGTATGCATTTAAATATAGTTTCCAGAATCCAATACAGATATTGTACTTCAAATTCATTTTGGTTCTTTGGGATCTTAAAAATATTCAAAAGTGAAGTATGATTTTGAAGAATTTCTTCCTTAGAAAGGGAAGTGTGAGTAGATGTTGGATTAACACTTGCAGAATTTAAACCAAGTTCTTCTAAAACACAATTTGTATAATAAGTCTTACAAACGAAGACAATGTTGTTACCTAATTTGTCAGCAGCGACCAGTACTTAATAATCATGTAATCGATCTAATTATTCCTGTACCCTTACACCACCTTATGATATGGTATGCGAATGGTTTTCTCTTTTCCCGTAAATAATGGACACATAATCTTTGAATGACCTTCAAGTGCTATTATATGCAATAAAACTTGTCTTATCAAGAGTTTTTGCAACCTTTGTCTAATACGATGTAAACTAATAAAATATTGTGGAATCCATAATGTTGTTTGACCCTGCGAGTTTTAATAAAACAAGTGAAAGCTTTACCGTATAATATTAACGCTGCTTCATTGCCAAAATCATGTGTTTTCCAGTTATATCAAACAATTTATTTCAACATCAGTGTGAAGACCATGTTCCATTTGACTTTTTTCTTTAAAAATTTCAAAGACGTACCATTTTCTGCTTGCGTTTTATAATAGCTTGTTGATCGTAGAATGGCGTCAGTATACGAAGTTGAATCTAACGATCTCCAGTTTGAAATTCTTCCATTTGGTGATCTGGCGTCACAATAATCGTGAAGACGGCCTATATCTCTGTAATATTCCCGGAAAAACTGATGTTCCACTCCAAAAAGACCCCTTTTATGTCGATGTCTATAACAGAAGAAAGACTGAATTATTTTTGCTAGGATTTATATCAATAGTCAGGTGTCAGGGAGTAAAAGAATAATTGTTATATATCACTGATAAGTTTTGTCCAAATAGATAAATGAGACGTCCAACTTAAAAATATACCAACAGATACACAGTACAATCTTAAACCATAGATAAATAATATGTGCATTTAAACTAGTATTTTTAAACCAAAAACAAGCAAACAAACAAATAAAAAATGAAAAACAGGTGGAAGGATTATGTAATTTATAAATCAGAATCTGTAGTTTGTCACCTTTCTGTGGTGTTGCCACGTGAGAAATCTGTAAGAGAGCTGAACTCAGTCTCCTCCGGACGCTTGTTATCTGAGAATGGACGTAGGAAAAGTAGAAACAAATAGTAATATTCTGATGCCTCATACAACATTCATTTATTATGAAACATGTCTTTTTTCTATCAATTTATTAAAGATAAAAAAAATAATTGTAAGAAGATAGATAATTAACACTCCTCAGGACTATTTCATGAAAATTTTTTCTTCTTTTAAACAGAGAATTTAGGATAGATACTGTTTAATAAAATTTTAAATATTTAATAAGTAAAAAAGCAACATTTTATTGTTAGCATTTCCAATAAAGGAATCACTATGTAAGAGACAACATCATTCATGTTTTCTTTGTTAACCTAATTCAAGTAAAATCTAATCATATTTAATTTGAAGTGAGGAAATGCTGATCTTTAGAAAAGGAATGTATTTCAAGTAGTGGTATCCACAGTCTTTAATCAGTATTAAAGATTCAAGAGATAATTGATACATATTACTACGAGAAGCAGGAGTCAAAATAAACATTGTCATGCTAGTGTTAATAAGTTTAGAGTTAAGCACAATATTCAATATTGCATAACGTTCATTTTCTAGGAAATTGTTTTCTTGTAATCAAAATTAAAATATTTTACCTGCACTTCTTATGAAGAAAAATTTCGCTGTTAGAGACATTTTCTAAAATGAAGAAAAAAGGGAATAAAGTTTGAAATAATATTACAAAATCTGTGCAGTAAGCTTAAACCTCACTTAAATAAGCATCTATTCGAAATAGAGAAACAAGAAATACATTGCAATAAAAAGTTCTACTTTTTAAGAATTACTTATAAAATAAGCATGAAGAATTTCTTTAAAGAGATGTAAATGTAGCTTACCCTACAGTTATGACTGAGATGTTTTGTGTAGGTTTTCCAGAAAAGAAAAGTAAAATTCTGGATTTTCACTGTTGAAGTGATCGTTAGGATGAGAAATAATTAAGCCAAGATTTAAGGGGATGTTAGTTTGCTTATGTTTTATGTAGTTGCATATGTATTAATTAGCAAATTTATGTTTTAGCAGTTCTCTTTAATGGTTGTCAGTTGTTAATCCCAAGAGCCAACATTTAGATTGTTTTTGTAATAAAATATAAACTGATTTACATATTTGTTTTCTTTTGTATAAATAAGATGCCAAAGGATTACTACGATTATAGATTATTTGACGGAAATTGCGGATGTTCACTTAGTAGCAAATATAAGTACCATTGAATATAGAAATAAGGGAAACCCTAAAAGAACATAAAAAGTTGAATAGAGAATTTAGACATGAAAAATGTGACAAAAATATTCGCCTACATGATTATGATAAAAATTACTGCCAGTTGGATTAACTCTGTGAGAAATTAATGAATAAACATACATGTATACCGTTTATTATTACAATTTTTATGCATTTAAATTTTTGGATCAAATGACCGGGAAAATGAGTTTTTAAATATTGGGATTAAACCTGCAATTTCTGTGACAATCAATAAATCTAGCAAAACAAAAAATTTCAAAGACACAGTATTTTCTAAAAATATGCAAAATTGTAATGAACTTTTATTGGAGGATTAGGGTATAATCAAATAAAACAATCCATGTGAAATACACAATTTTATTATCACTCTAAAAATTTAATTCAAGAATGAAATAGTTATAGATACAAGCATTATCGAGTAGTTCTTTTCAGAAAAGAATTCTGAAAGAAGAATCAAAACACATTTCCTCACATGTAGGGTTTTACAAATTAAATTGTATGCATGCTTAAGGTTTTAATAAAACAATTAGTAAGAAAACAAGGAGGAAATAAATTCAGGGATTTCCATTGCTGCAGCTGGCCAGTAGAAATATTTTGAATGACAAAGAGTAATACTCGCGGATACTCCTGAATACTTGATGTCCAGTATATTGTACAAATAAGTACCACTTACGACTAAAGGACTCTGACACCTACTTATTTACAACAGATGGACAAGGCTAAATCACTGATTAGCGCCACTTTACATGATTATTGAGACACATGACCATCATACTTTATTGCTTCGATGCTAACTACCATACGAGGGTTCGTTATACTATTTTTAAGAAATTTAAAATTAGCAAAAAATCATTTGTAAAATTAATTGTTTTGTTGATGTGAAGATTCATTTCATTCGATATAACAGAAAGCGATTTATTTCATTTTAAATTCAATATGTTTTGTACCCTCAGAGCACACTTAACGGCAATGTAACGTCAAAAACCTAGAGTAAAGAATTTCGAAAAAAACATAAATACGTTTCACCCATTATAGTCCGATATCCACTCGTTTTGTATCACTTGACATTAAGTTTTTAAAACAAATTTTATCGTTTTATAAATTCCTTTGTCATGTTCTATTTTCTTTTCTAACTTAACTGTACTTTAACAAGAAGGATATGGAGATAACGAAAAGTATCCAATATCAAATTCCATAAAACAATACAAAATGGAGCAGAGCAAACACGGACCTCCGAAACATCAGAGGTGGGATCAGTTGCGGAGGAGTGAGCATCCCCTGCTGACTGGTCACACTCGCCGTGTGCTCCTTGCCATGATCGGGAAATAACGGAAACATCGTCAATTCAGTTTATAAATAATGGACTAGCAATTAGTATGAAAAACTTCAGACAGCATCTGACTCAATGATAAATTGTATTTGCTTACAAGATCATTGTATCGACCATAGAATTACGAAGTTATGACTTTAAACGAGACGGCTGATATTCTTGTTTCAATAAATTGCTTGACAATAATTTATCTCGTTTTAGAAATTGTTCATACGTAGATAAGGCTCTTGCGTATCGAATCAACTGAGATATACATACTCCGTATGCAGGTGATGAAGGTATATTGCTGCATAAGTAAGGGAAATTGACGATTGAAATGTTAAAGTCATCAAGTTTATCATATAGCTTGGTTGTTAGATTACCATTAACGTCTTTTTAAGTAAAATATCCAAGTATGAAACAGATGTGTCAGACTCTGTGGTATCTTTTATCTCAAGCTCACCAGGATATATCGTATCGATGTAGAAATTTATGGAAATTTTCATTGTTAATTGACAATACGCCGTCGATATATCTAAATACCGAGTTGAAGGCTACAGCAAGTGTTTTCTTCTTTTCACGCATAAGATCAGCAACTCTGAAGCGCCTATGTGACTTTTCATTACGTTTCAACTCTAAAAAATTTGTTAAGATTTTTTCAATCAAAATGTTTCTTCACAAATTGTCTTCGACCGATACAGAGTCTCTGCCATTCAAATACCGCGTCTACCATTTACACATTCATAACTCACTTGTTACATTTTTTTGATTCCTCCAAAACTTATAGAACTTTTCAGGATTTTTCCCGAGTATATCACAAAATTGTTCGCTTATCTGCTGCTCTGTGACGTTCTAAAACGTCATCGTTTTTGTCATTTTCAATGAGGATTACCTATCTTCTCAAATTGATTTCATTTCAACGGAGCAAAATATTAAGCATTAATATGGAATATGAATCAAAGTAATAATTCTTAATTTGAACGTCTATGGTACAGACATTACTTGATATTATGCTTGTAAATTACTAAATTTGAATTTGCTTCACTATCCGATTTTTGAACATTTAAATCTGGATTAGTTATACATGAAATATATGGATAACGAACGAACAATAATTCAAGCTAAAAGACCGTTAAAAATACAAAATACGAGCAGTTGTAACACGGACCTCCAAAACATCAGAGGTGGGATCAGGCGCCATGGAGTAGTTAACATCCCCTGCCAACTGGTCAAACCCGTCGTGTAATCATTGTCATCATCGGGAAATAAAGGGAAAAATCCGTGTTTAAATAATGAAATAGCAAAAAGGATGAAAAATATCAGTAAGCAATTGACTCAATGATAAATAGTATTTGATGAAGAGGTCGCTGTATCGACCATAAAACGTACGAAATGATGACTTTAAACGAGATTGTTAATAATCCTGTTTCAGCAATTGTTTGTAAATAATTTAACTCGTTGTAAAATTGTTCATAAGCAGAGCATTTTCAAATACAAACCATTTGAATTTCATGTTTCAGGCGCGGATCCAGAAATTTTTTCCAGGGGGGGGTCCACCCAGTTAAAAAAAAATTCCAATCCCAGAAATTTCTTGACAAGCAAAAAAAAAAAAAAAAAAAAACGTTAACTCGCCCAAACGTGAAAAACCTATTTCCTGGAAGGGGGGGGGGGTAGTCAATGGCTTCTATTGCCTCAAATCTCTCACATTTCATACCCATTTCACACATATTCATGTGTGTAAAGTATATACATTTTTTAACCGTGGAAATTCCAGGGGGGGTCCTTACAATAATCCGCGCATGTGTTTTAATATTTTTACCAAATTTTAATAATAATGACGTCAAATAAATAAGATATGACAAAAGGATACGAACGTTTCGAAGAATGCTCTTACCTTATATAAGTTTTTGAAATTAACTGAGGCCATAAATTCAGATTATACCTAGTATATTTGCTTACATCTGTGTTACCTACTTAGCCTTGCAATTGCTTTAAAAAACATTTTAAGATTGAATTAGACCTAAACATTTAATGCTTATTTGTTAATTCTAGCCGAAATACTACTATATATTTTTACCAATTCTGATTACTATTCTTTGCTTTTCATGATTAAAGCAGCATAAAGTATTAACATTCTTTTATTGTATAAAACATATATAGAGATAACAAACAGTACATGGTTATAACAATTTCTGTGTTTGCATGGAGGGTTGGTTTCATAACCACCGTGTATACTGTAAACAGGGTAATTTTCGCCCTTTGCATTTTGCCCCGTTTTAAATTCGCCCAATAGTTTTATTTAAGAAATTATACTATATTCTTTGATTTCGCTTAAAATTTGTTGAGGGTAGGGCGAATTGGAAATAACTTTTTTCAGGACCGGGAAATATGGGAAATCTGTGGACCATTTAGTGTGTAAATTGGTCTCACAATAAGTATGGAAAGCGTCACAAATAATAGTCATTAAAGAAAGTATACTTTAACACCTATTGATGACATGAATATTTAAACACAATTCTGTGATATATCAATCTTTCATAAAAAGCATTTTTTTTATTTTCTGTAATTGATATTGGTTTCCATGCATACATGTATATCTTGATATAGAAAATTAAACTTTAATTGCTTCTTTTCTTCTAGTATTATCTTTGAATAGATCTTATGATTATAAAGAAAGACCAATTTCTATACTATACTCTGAAGGAATATTTCTTACGTTTCCGAGCTTTTGATAAACATTTTGTTAAATTTTGCTGAATTTATTTTTCAGTCCTGATCGTTTCCACATACATGTCAATTCGATTTTCGTTAGTTTCCCTATGTTACAGAAAAAAGAATACTAAGTTTAACTTTTTATTATACAAATATTCGAAATACAAGAGACTTTCATTTGCTAGCTTTTTTTTTATATAAGCATTTTCATAAAGTTTCTTAATCCAATGGAGAATCAAATAAGAAATCATTTTCGTTATATCCGTCATTGCTTTCAATTTAGAAGTTCTTATGGAAGTTTAAATGCAGTATACAGTTCTATTCTATCTTACACCTTTTACACCCTTAGCCATAAAGT